CCGACTCTGGCAAAGAATCTCATATCTTTGGGATATTCGAGAAAAAGGGTGCATTTTGAGAGACAATGAGAAAGATATGGATATGATGCTTGGAAAGGACGTGTTGCTCCGTGTGGAAGTGTATGGGTCAATTTTTTGTAACGAAGCTACGCAAATATACCCATTGACGTGACTAAGAGCTTTTCGAATATGGTTTTGAACGTGGCGACAGAAGGCGTGCAAAGCGATGTCTTTCCAGGTCAGGCATTGCAATAATGGATCACTCGATACCGAATCGTCTGACATGTGCCGAAGGAAAATCCACAAGGGCAAAGCAAGCGCAGAAAGACACGAGTCAACACGCTCCGATTGACCGTGTGGATGAAGCTATCTGCAGTGACCTGAAAGCCTATTACCCCACGAGATAGACGTGGAAATCGCTATTTAGTGGTGTTTTTCGACCATTTTTCAAATTACGTCCGAGTATTTGCTGCTCGAACAAAAGACAGAGCGGCAAAAATGTTTGAGCATTTTCTTGTTTGGTTTGAAAACGAGTTTAAATGCAGGATTAACGTGTTGAGAACAGATGGTGGTGGAGAGTGTCGAAATGTTGATCTCTTTTGTAAAGAGACCGGTGTTAGGCGTCAAGCTACGGAAGCCGGCAGTTCAGCATCAAATGGTAAAGCAGAAAGGATGAACCGAACCATTTTTGATATGATTCGATGCATGATTCTTGGTTCTGGAGTGCCTCTAATTTATTGGTCAGAGGCGTTAGAGTATGCAACCTACATACTTAACCGAAGCCCCACAAGATCAAACTTTGGAAGAGTGTCTCCAATTGAATTGCTAACGAAAGCACAAACAAGTGTAAACGATATTGTTGTTTTTGGGTCGCCGTGCATGGCATAGCGTGATCCGAAAAAAAAGTTGTTGGAGCGACACGCCGAGAAGGCGCTAATAACTTGGAAAAAATGACGAAACGAAAGGCTACAAGATTATATTTTTAAAAGACAGAGTGGTAACCATAATTCGTCACGTGAGGAATATTGAAACTCTCAACGATGAATCCAACAATAAAATTGTTTAAATTTTAAAGGATGACGAAGAAGACTAGTTGGAGAAACTCGCACTGGAACGAACACCTTGTGGAGAAAATAACAATTTGTGTAACGAAGATTGTGATGAGAATGAAACTGATACACGCAAAAGTAATGATGAAGTTGCTGGAAAATTGCTCCTAGGAAATCGGGCCGACGGAGCAATTAGACACCCAAGGCAGCTGCATTGGAAAAGGTGAAAACTCTGAAAGAAAACAATCGAGGAAAGGCAATTTCGAAAACAAGAGACAACGTAATTTCATACCATGAAGGAAATACATTATTAGCACTCGCGGTTATTGATTCAAGTATGTTAAATGATGGAAAATTTGCGTCGCTACCTGTATCACAAAGTTACAACGAAGCTCATCAAGCGAAATATTCTCAAATGTGGAAAGCAGCGGAAGAAGCCGAATTTAAGTCATTAGAAGATGTTGGGACTTGGAAAATTGTGTGTCGGGATGTCAACAAAAATTCGTTGCCGACTAAGTGGGTTTATAAGACAAAACTGAAGGCAGATGTTACGATTAATCGATACAAGGCGAGACCTGTGGCTCGTGGTGACAGATTAGAATTTTTGATGAAGATTACTACGTAACTATTTTTAACTGTTATGGAGCTGAACAACATGAAAGTTATCTTGATTATGGCTATAATATGGAAAGTTCCGGCCCGTCACGGTGACTTACCAAGCGCATACCCAAAGGATGAAACGGAGGGAAATTACGAAATACATCTACAGATACCGAAAGCGATGGAAATTTCAAGTGACAAAATGAACGAACTTGGTGCAAAATGCACAGGATATTTGCTGTTAAAGTTTCAACGAAACCTTCACGGTTTAAAGCAAGCAGGTCGAAGGTGGTATGAACTGTTACGAAAACGCTGATCAATCTGGGGTTTATGCATTGTTTAACTGACACGTGTATCTTCGCTCGTATGGAGGATTGCGGAATGGTACCGATTGAAGTTTACGTCGACGATTTATTGGTGACTAGAACGAGCGTATCATTAATCGACAAATTTTTCGATGAGATGAAAGTTCTCGACCTTAAAGATCTTGGAAATGTTGAAAAAATTCTGGGCATGAGAATTGAAGGAGATTCAGCGATTGGATACACGATTGATCAAGAATTAACGATTGATGAAATGCTGGAAAAGCATGGACTAGAAGATGCGAACACTGTAAACTCACCAATTTCAGAGCTATAGATGTATGAGGAGTTAAACGAATTACTCCCAGTGAAGTCAAGCGGGAATACACCCACTGTCAGAAAATTTCAGTCACTTGTCGGCAGTTTACTCTGGATTCGAGGTGCACACGACCAGATATTTCTTCGCGGTTCATCGGGCTACACGACGTACACACGCGCCGACTTTGATGGATTATAAAGTGGCAAAGCGTATTGCGCGGTACTTGAAAGGAACAAGAAGCCTGAAAGTATGTTTGGAACACGATGATGAGAAGAGCATATAATAAGCTACAGTGACGCTGATTTTGCAGCTAATAAAGACGATCGGAAGATATTAGCGCAAATGTGATTTACGTAAATGGCATAATTGCTGGATGGAACTGTAAGAAGCAAGGGACAGTGGCGCTTTCCACTGCCGAGGCGGAATTTGTGACTGCTGCAGTTGGAGGACGAGAGGCATTGGGTTTAAAGGAGCTGTTTGCGGAATTTGGTATGCAGTCAAAACGCCAATAATTCTAAAAACTGATAACCAAGCTGCAATTAAACAGCTTGAAAGTGAAGCAAGTGCTGCGAGCTCAAAGCATGTGGATGTTAAGTTGAAGTTTTAAAAACTATGCAAAGAAAGGCACCGTGAAACTAGTGCATGTGGCGAGTAAAGACATGGTAGCTGACTTGTTAACGATAACTTTAAATGCACCACGGATTGTGGAGCTAAGGATGCAGATGGGACTAAAATGAAGCCCCAGTATGTTTGGAAGGAGTGTTGGAAATGAGATGTATTTTGAAGAAAAGATTTCCGTATACAAACTTACCATGGGCAAATGCATACAGAGGTTAAAAGTGTGATGCGAAACGATTGGCAAGGGAGTTACACTCGTGGTAATAAAAGCAGCCTACAGAGGTGTTCTATGTATGTTTCTATATTTTAGGATTACGGTCAAAATAACTCAGGAGTTTTTTCTTTCTCCTGGGATTAATAAACTTCCTCTTTTTACTCCTAAAGCTAGCTGATTTTTTCCGGCAACTTTCTCTGGCACTAACACGCCACCTTACTCGTGTGATTATTTTGTGCAGTGGATTCACTAACAGGTTCCCTCTACTTACGTCTAGTCACGCGTGGTTCTCTCTACACATCAAACCTCGAAGGGTCCATTCGAATGGGCCTTGGCTAATTAGACAGGGCAGAGAGCGTCTCCACAGTTCTGTTGAGCGCCTCGTTTCGAGCTTGCTCACGTAAAAGCTCATTCTGTGTCTTACTAATTAATTCTAATGCAGCATGGTTATGTGCCTTGGACGCTTCTATACGCTGTCCGCAACATGTTGCTCAGGAGGACGATGCAAAGGTTGTCCAAGCTTTTTTACCAAGTCCCTACGCCAAATGCTCAGCCAACTTCCTATGATGTTGGGAGAATTAAAAAATCCTCCCATCCATACTGAGGGCCATCCATGCTCACACGCACGCTCAGAGAGACAAGTCGTGGGAAGGACTACTAGTGCTACCAAGTTTATACGGGCGCTTCGTAAAGAAGATGCTAGCAAACACCTTTAAGCAGCGTGAGGAAGCGGTTAGACCGTCTTACCTCCGCGGCCGGTGGTGGTTGCGTTGGTCGGTCGCCTTAAGCGAACCGCGCAACGAACTTTAGAACAAACATCTAACTGCGTCGCGGAAGCTGTTGCCAGTCTTCCTGCGCGCAGTGAGTGAAAAAGTAATTAAAGACTGCATAAATTTGATAGAATACAGTCAAATGTAAATTTAGTAAATCTTACTACTGATTGTTTGAATGTAATAACGAATACGCGTCTCTTTAGAATTGTATCCCTACGTGAGAGCTTAAATATATTTAAGCTCGCTGATGGCGTCCGTTTGTGACGTCACCTTGACACCTAGTCCCAGCTGGGCGTCATTCCCGTCGAATGTGAATCCATCCATGAATATCACATTCGCGACGATGATTCACATTGATAAGCTTCACCCAAGTGGAAAATATAAATTGATTTCGTCATTATATCGGCCAGCATGGACAGCCAGAGGACCACTTGACAATCTTCTGATCTTTTTGCGCACAATGTGGTAACATATGTCGATGTGTTTAGTAACGGGACAGAAGTTATACGAGTTCGTTAAGTATATGATACTTAACGGGGAGGTCTTATAAGGACGTGGTACCTCCAGCGATACATTCCGTATTCTATGAAGCAAAGTCGGTAAACAGGCACGTAAAGGTGTCGAGTCTTTATTCAGGAAACTTCTCGAGCAGCAAGCGGAAATCTGGCAAACGACGTCTTGGCGATGACGTTGCTACGATTGTACAGTACCTGACTGTGGTCAAGATCGTGAGTCAGGATAGGTAGAAGGCATCTGAATGATTTGGAAGGTTGCAATTTGCCTAGAGGTTGCAAAACAATTTCGCGAACTAAGTACCAAATAAAAGCTCTTTGCATCTTGTCATCTACGCTACCTAATCTGTACTTTACATACTACATGTATTCATGAGAGGCTCTGCTTGCTTTAGTTCAACCTACCAGCTTTGCTAGTTGAAATGCTTTCAACAAGCAATAGATTATAAAATCAGTTATGAGTAAAAAGCAGCCAAGTCAGAGCTCTGAAGATTGTGCGCCTGTCATTTTCGTCGCATCCACCTTCCCTAGCAACATCACCTTCATGCTCCAGTTTGTTACTCGACGCTGCAAATACTACGCGTTCATCAATGCATTTATATGCAGTGTCGCCATGGGCAGTTACATTTCTGTATCATCTCTGAAACGTCATGTCGAGTCTTCCGGGATGTTCCATCATCTGGTGGTGGTCTATAGCGTGAGTTTGCTGCGAATTCTAGCAATGATCAAGTGGTTCGAATGGATTACGACCAAGAAGCAGCAGATCAATCGAGACAAGCGGGTGCAACTTACTCACGAGCAGATGAGATCTATCTACTACCGCATCTTGTGGCTGGTGGTGCCGACCGAATGCATCTCCTTCTGGTTTGCGCAGCGGACTGCTGTGTCTGTACAAGGCAGCGTAGATTGGCAATCATTCCTTGTTGAGTACGCCACGTTCATTCCCAAGTCTCTTCTTTTTGAGGTCATTTTTGACTTCTTTCACTTCACGATGCACTGGGTTTGCCACTACAGCACGTGGCTCTACCGAAATGTGCATAAGCGCCACCATCTGCATCTTCACCCGTGCCCTTTGTCGACGTATGAGCAAGACGGCTTCGATTTGTGCCTCACAAACGTGCTGCCGTTTTGTCTCGCGTGGAGTCTTGGCTCGTTCTCAGATCTCCAGCTGCACCTACTTTTTGCCTACAAGACGTACGTGGAAGTTGCCGGTCACTCTGGTTTGGACATCAAAGGCTTTTCGTTTCCGCAAATGCCACTGGTGAATAGCGCCACAAGCCTTTGTCTACGAGTACATGATCATGACGTTCATCACACGCACCCACGCTGGAATTTTGCCAAGCGGTTTTCACTTTGGGACAAGCTTTTTCGCACCTACCGCCCGGGCAAATAATATCTGCCACAAGTGTCGCTCCAAGTAAGCTGGGCTAATAGCTTCTATAAATAACAAGACTTGATCCCGGTAGCATTTTGGAATCAAGCCACATATTAGTGAGCAGAGGATCGGAGGCAACACTTGAGTTAGTCTAAAAGACGTGTCAAATTCGAATTGTTTCAAGGCGGGATCTCATCTACAAACCTAAGTACCTCACGAGGGCCAGAATGTCAACGACACTGCTGAGAGGATAAGTGCAAGAACGAGAAGGCACTACATGCGAAGTGCTAGCCACACCTAGACAATGACATTTTTTATAAGAGGTGAATCAATACCGTGCTTTCTTTCTACCACAGAGCACTTAATCTACTCGTGACGTCTTCGTTTCGCGGGCTGATCGAAGTCATTCTCGTCGTCGATATTGTTTCCATCGGCTGCTGAGTCATCAGACTCTTCTTCGCTAGATGAAATGCCGTCGCTAAATGAGTCGTCAGAGGATACCGATTCTCTGGTTTGCAGAGCTTCTGCTCCCTGCGTATCCTGAGTAGCAAGGTCAGCTTCATCATCTACTACATTGTCACCTTCAGATACATTTGCTTCGATCAAGGGATTCGACTGTCGGACTTGCGTGGTTCGAGCATGCTGCGCAGTCAGCTCCGTTGCTTTCTTGTTAAACATCTCGCGATTGTGTTTGAATATATCAGCCTGATCAAAGTTCGCCGCATACAACATAACGTCAGCGAATCAGTCCAAATCATCGATCGAAATCTTATTGCGAAGTCATACAATGTCCGGCATCAGTCCATCATCTGCATTGGGTTCCGCCATTAGCAATCGAATAGTCGTCAGCAACGTACTAATGTTGACCGATGGCAGCCAAGAACCCTAACAAAGAAACCAGATTGCCGTCAAAACTTATTGCAATCAAACAATCACAGATCTCGCGCCGACCTTTGGCTGCATTTTGAGCGTGTCAAGGCAGATCCGACCGGCGTCGTCAATGTTCGGGTGATAGATTGGCGTTACAAAGCGCACTTTGGGCGGTTCAAAGGGATATCTGCTTATACCAGACATTTAAGAAAGATATCCATAACCTACTCACACAAATGGAATTGAAAGATAAAGTTCATATAAAAATACCGTTCCGGAATTTCAATCTCCAATTGGAACACGCCCTTCTCATACGGAGACCCATCCGGACCCAAAATTTCTAAGCAAAATCCCAAGAGTAGAAATGTAAGCCATCGCAAAACGAAAATAGGAAAAATTTGAATTGACGTTAAAACGCACGAGCTTCGAGGAGGTCGATCTTGTCATCTTTCGGCCACGCACTGACACCTACAGAGCGTAATTTTGACAATAAAAGTGTCATTTTTACCTCAATCGACGATACCCAATGCCTAGAATTAGGTTCCAGTGTTAAAATTGCGCACCAAAGGGCGGGTCTCTCTCTAGCATCGCAATCTCCTTACGCATTCGTCCCCGCATCGCAGTCATTCTGCAATTGAAAATAACCTGTTTCCATTGGCGAATTGCCTGATCCGAATTTAAGAATTTTTGAAAAAACACTATTTTCGGATACTACTGTAGGATTTGCGATCTTTTAAGGATGCAGGATTTTGAGCAACTCGAGTTCCTAGGCCGTGGAGGTTTTGCTAGGTGCGTTTACCATATATAGTATAATTATAATAAATAACATTGCACTTTGATTGCCAAATACTAGCATTAAATACATAATTTTCGTTTATTTATCATTTAAAATGTAGTGTCTATCTCGTTCGACGTCTCAACTCCCCTAGTCTCTATGGTAAGTTATTATTCCTCGTTTAAGAAACGGTTTATGTAAAAAAAAACAATTTATGAAAGTTTTTTTTTGTGTGATTCATTCAGCGGTCAAAAGAATTTTGAAATCCAAAGTTGTCACGGATCAGCAGAAATCCCGCTTGGAAGTTGAAAACTTCATTTTGCAACAAGTCACGAGTCCGTTTCTATGTCGAGGCTTTGAAACATTTGAGACGACGGAGGAATTTGCATTTTTACAAGAATACGTCGAAGGACGTACATTGTATGAGTGTGTGTGGAACTACAAAGACACGGGCAAGTTCCCGGAAAATGTCGCCAAGTTTTTTGCGGCACAACTGGTGCTGGCACTGGGAGAATTGCATGCTGTTGGATACATGCATCGTGATTTCAAGAGTGGCAACGTGTTGATTGGAAAAGACGGATTTGTCAAGGTAATTGACTTTGGACTTGCGAAAAAAGTGTTAGTAGGTGAGACAGAAGAAGATGGACGCACACACTCGATCTGTGGTACTCACTATATTATGGCACCTGAAATTATGAGTCGGCAACCTTATGGCGTCGGCGTTGACTGGTGGTAGAGTAGATTTCTATTAGAGTGAACTTTGCATGTTTATTGTTATAAAAAGCTGATTCTCATGAGGTTTTGATGTGCAGGAGTTTGGGTGTGGTAATCTACGAAATGGTGGTGGGCCACCCGCCGTGGGAATACCAATGTCCACCAAATAGTACCATTGATGAGTACTTTCAGCATATTACGTTCATTGCTAGATCCCCGTTTCAGAATGCTGGTGATATTGCCCAAAGACGTGAACAGGAACTGAGTAGCGATCTGCAAACGTTGATAAGGTCCAGTTTCGCATACTTCTGCTTCTCTTGCTAAAAAGATCTGACCTCATGCGTGCGTCTTTGAAAACGGTAGTGGTCTACTGACGATAAACTTTCACAAACGTCTTGGTATAAATGGAGCAACCGAGGTACGAGCGAATGTGTTCGTCAGAAAGACACTAAAAGTCCTCATATTTGCTCTCTTTTGTAAATAGGTTATGCACCATACATGGTTTCGTGATGTCAACTGGGAACATCTGAAGACGAAAGATGCGTCAATCAATTTGCCGTATAGTGCTCAAGCCGACTATAACGCAGACCGAATCCGCACACATCCTTCTCGAATTGACAGTCTGTCCAGTGCAGAGAGCATTGATCCTGAAGAAAATGCAAAGTACTTTGCTGAGTTTTAATGAGAACACATCGAGTTCTGTGATCACCCACGAAGCTTCTGTCTAGCAAGGATTGCTATGATTCGCGCTCTTCTGTGACCTTCAGGTTCGCTGCTTGTCATCATTCGCAGCGGTGATGAACGTATCCATGAATTGGATATTGCAAGAGTGCATTCGTAGCGACATCCCAAGAAACCACGCAATTGGTAGATAGATTTCGGGCAAAGGGTATTTGCACAGCCTCAGCCGGTACGTACGCGTTGTCGCTAAATTTCCCGTTTTTCGTCGAGGTTAGCGAGCACTCGAGTTAACAACTGCTCACGAGATTTCTCACTATTCATTCCCAACCAGTGAATTTCAATTCCAATTATGAAGAACTAGTCGGTTTGCGCTCTGATTAGAGACGGACCAAGGTCGAGTAAACGTCTTTGACGAAAGGTCATACGTAGACTTTCATCCATGAAAACTACTTGACCGTTCATACGATTTAGACTGTCCGTTGGAGAATACACTTAGCTAACGTAGCCGCCGTTATCCAAATCACAATGATATTATATATATATGTACAAACCTCGTTTAGCTGATCAGCAGGAGAGACCACAACAACAACCATGACCTCCTGTTAACGCAACTGGTCGTCGATGAATATCGGTAGTGTGTCATGCTGCAATCTAGCGCTAAAAGTTGTCGTGTCCAACTTAATACCAATCGCGTAAGAATGGCCTCAGCGCGAGCAGATTCGATGCATCATATCAGCCAAACTAAGTTCTGATCCATGCATTCTCAATCAGCTCGGCAGCACCAGACTTAAATCCCATAGCACCGCGTACAAATCAATCATCGTTTTGGTGTCGTAACTACTACAGAGATATCCGGAACTCGGCTACGAGAACACCAAATCTTTTGCAGATTTGACCCGACAAAAGGGAGTAGCCAAAACTGCGTGAGTGGATCTTCAGCTTGCGTGACTATATGAGCGGCAGCACCGCTATTTTAGGTTGCTTTACTTCGTCACACTTCAAACATTGACGCCACTTGGGTATGACAGGCATAATTTCTTCGCTGCATCACTTCGGACAAGTACCGACATTTGCTAAGGACCTATCAGTAGAACGACGTCTTCTAGGATCTGATTTCGGGCTCTTAAGAAGCCATTGCTGACTTCACCATTGAATAAGCTCTTTATAATCTTGCTCTGTCTACTACACGAAGCTCAGCTTGTTTTACTTACAGTTAGCAAATTGCGAACTGGCATGTCAACATTTAAGACTACTGTATAACCTTATGGATGTCCTCGGACAACAACGTTCGACTTTGACACCGTCTTGGTATTGTGAACATCTTCGTGACCCACGTCCGAGCTTTCCTCATCACGATCACATCAATCTGCAGCAAACCGTTTTCTGCAGCCAACTCCAATCCTGTTGGTTTGCATGCAAATACTTGGGAAGACGCAGTGAGGACGAAAGCGTCAAACAAAGAAGACGAGCCCACCACTTGCCAAAGTCTTCTCGCTTTGCTGAATACAGAGGCATTTAGCACTTGAAAGTAATGTATCGCCTTGACCGCGTTCGTATCTGAACCTCAGATTCTGCGTCTGCGTCAAGTACGGAGTCACATGAAGACGTCGCACAAGACGCTGCTGAATCTAGCACTATTTTACCACGGAAAGTAAAGATTGTTATTGCTTCGAAGGAGCGACGTATGCTCCTCTGGCATTGCTTTTACACCTTTGACTTTAGCAATTAGTTCACTGGTGCTGACATGCTCGTTTGACGAGCGCAATTGCTTACTCCGTTGTTGAGTATCAGCTTGTCTTGGGGTTGCTATGTCAACTGTAAAGTTTGTTTTGAACTATTGCGTGTTACTGTAACAGGATTGAGCTTCATTATCCCCTGCTTAGGTATGTCGCTGGCGTAATGCTCGCCGGCGTTCTTACTTGATCAAGCTTATGAGACTGAGGAAGTACTATCGCTTGCAATAATTTCGCCCTCATGGATCTGTCTTGCAAGCAACCTCTTCCGTTATGATTTGTCAATTGCGTGAGCTTCTGCTCTTTGCTTAACTTTATACTCTTGCGATGGTATGCACTCAATATGTTCTTGCATGGATTGTACAAAGCAAATGACTTGGTCGTTAAAGCGAGCAACGCCGGTCTCACGATCGCGCTGTTTGAAAGCGGTCTGATTTTTTTCGTACAATGTTCTTGACGATGAGCGTCCAACAGTATTTCCAGCGTGAGCTAGACAAGGACTATTGTCATCAGTGCCAGTTTATCCTTTTGTTCAAGAGATCGAAAACCAAGGCCGAGTCTAGCACTGAAATGCGCTGTTTTGATGAAAGGCATCGGATGCTCCAAACACATTCGACGCTCATCGCATTTACCGTGCCTTTCTGGTAGTAACAACTTGATAAAATTACAGACATCTAGTATTGGTGTTTATCTATCGCTGCGTGCTACTCAACTATGTTGCGACGCGCTGCATCACCCATAAGGAGGAAGACATCATGGTACGCGTTTAAAGCGCATATCATCCGTCCCTCATTCTCATACGATCGACTTTGGAGTCCGCTGGTATTTTCGAGCACTGACGGACGCGGTACCATAGTTTGCTCCCCATTTGTCGTTACCATGAGGAGGCGTCGAGATCGGGTTCGAACGTGGCGTCATCGACTGACGCATCGTGAGTTTGTAGTCTGGATATTCCTCCATTTGCAACACTGGCACCCGCCACTTGGCTAAAACATCGGGCGTCCACACAAAGACAAATACGCCAACGCAAAAAGCGCATATGATATGACCGCAGAAAGCTGCCGGCACCGTGCAGAGCGGTGCAGCTCCCGCTTTCGGGATGATCTTCACCCACAACACGTAGACATTGTAGATAGGCAGTAGTACACGGGCCACGAACCAGCAGACATACGTCATGTAGAAAAAGAACTCGTGTGTCTTGCTCTTGCCATAGCCAAGCTGTTCCATGATAGTGGTGATATTAAGCGGAATGACGGCGAGCTCGACCATGAGGAACAGCTGCAGCAAGTACAGGTCCATCCCACAGCCTGAGTGCATCGTGTAGATCAAGTACGGCAGTCTGAACAAAGGAACAGCGCATTAGTACTGCAATAAACACTTGATTACGCAAATTGCAAGCGACGTACACGGCCACGACATGGTGAATGACAAAGACTCGCCAGAGGGGCACTTGCCACAGTACCAGCACAAACAAGTCGAGCACAAAGTATCCACACGCTGCAACAAAAAGCACAAGAACATTGTAAGCAATAAATAGACAGTAACTGTTTTCTATATTGATCGGTACGTACAGAAAGAGAAGAGTGAAGAGGCCAAGTACATGGGTTTCTCCTTTGTAGGCATCAGGTCAGCGTCCCAGTTCTGATGCATAAAGCTGTACATTGTCCCCGTAGTGATCACCACTGCATGGATTGTCGAGTTGACTCTATTATACATCCATACATGAAAGTATTAGCTACTACTCGACTATTGTATTGCATCACGTGGGCTAAAATCGGTCTTTTTTGTCATACCGAGAACACCAGTCGCCCTGTTCAGGGATGGAAAAGTCCCGATACACTTTGACAAACCGATCGGACAGACGATTGGCGACGTGGAAAATCAGTGCAAACAAGCACGTAGACCCGAGAAGTACGCGCATGCCATGAAAGGAGTCCGTCATAATTATCGAGCTAATGGTCTCGTCTATTTTGGTTCTGAGCGAATGGTCAGCTGGCTTTGCTCAATATCGATGCCCAGTAAATGTGAGAATTTATCCGTCTGGTTTTCGCAAGACATCTAATTTTGAATAAAAGTTGCGACTCAGCTGCTTGTCAAATATTAATTAATTACATAAAAATTATTATTCTACTATTTATCCGGACATGTATACATGTACCCATTAGCAACTAAATATGGAAACGGATAGCGTCGATTTCACAGTAACGACGTCCGTAATAGCAATACAAAAAAATATTTATCGAGGACTCGTCACATGTTAAAGCATAAACCTACGAAGCACTTATGAGTTACACGCAGATACGCTCGTGACGAAATGTGGACTGCTGCCTGCACCTTGGGTACACTGGTTGCCAGCGTACGCCAAGGCCAACCGATCATTAGATTGCGAGGTTATCGTTTGTCTAGCACACCTTCAATTTAACGCACTAAGCCAGTGAACTGTGCATGCTTTGGATATCAGCCGTGTACCAAAGAATCTGGACGATAGCAATCGTAGGAAATCCGCGAGTGCATATGCCCGAAGGTGGCTTATGATGATTTTCATATCATCTTGACCACCATTAAGTAACTTTAGCGTCAACTTGACTTTATGCACCCCACGATCCGATTAGAAGATTTCTGCAATTCCTACAGCATCGTATCAATCTGCTGTCATTGCTCTTGCAATCTTATAACCAAAGCCAGCCTTTCAAATAACGTCCGTCATGAAGAAGTCCGTTCAAGTTCACATCATTTCCGTCGGGTTTAATAATTGCTGAGCAGCAAGAGGTGCCACCACTCCATATCATGTGCGTTGAATACAAGCTGCTATCTTGCGCTAGTAATACCACAACGAGCCACTGATTTCAAATACTCCTTGCGTAGGTTACGTCAATTGCCATCTTCACACTTTGTATTTTGGTCTTTCTGAATATCCTCAAATCTTCGGGTTCGTACACGGCACCGAACTAGAAAATGCGTGCACCGGATTTTCCTTGACTGCTGCAGCAGCTTTCGAATCCTAATCATGAAAGCGTCCAGAAAGCTGAACGCCTAGCTACAAAGGGTATTCTTTCCACAACAAGCAAGCGTCCCGGTAACTGCGGGCTTGCGACCAAGATTCAAAGATGAACGCCAAGCACGTTAAACCATGAAGTGTAGGCAAAAGCTACTCTTCGTCAACAACCAAAGCGTTCACCCCATTTCTTGGTGTCGCTGACGGGGCGAAGTCTCAGGTGCCCATAAGACGACAAAACTTGTATAGTCTCATCTCACTTTCGAATATAATCATCATGATGCCAGCGTTTGGCCCAATGTGAGTCGATAACCACCCGGTGGTAATGTTTGCAGACACGATGCCGCTTTCGATGGTAGAATAATGTACAGCTTCATCTCTAGTTTCTTGAAAATGCCTATTTCGCCTTAAACCAGGAATCGTCGACCTTAGCATCCACCTCAAGGGCTACAGACAAAGGCGACTCGAACGGGTTCTCCATCAAGTGCACAACAATTTTCATCGCTTCATCTACTGACTCCTCGGGTCCCTCAACAATGATTTCATCATGAATCTGAGATACCAACTTCCAACCAAGCTCGCGCAGCCTTGGGTTCTGATGCACAAGGAGCATGGCCTGCATAACGACATCAGCAGCTGCACCTTGGATAGGTGTGTTGATGGCAGCACGCTCTGCATGACCTCTTGACTTCTTCGATGACATACTGTCATCAATTAGCATAGCGTCGGGAAGCCGGCGATACCGCCCCAGTAGCGTGCGGGTGTAGCCGTATGTCCGCGCAATGTTAATGGCTCTCTTTTGCCAATCGCGCACCTCTGCTCGGTCAGCATACCATTTTTCCAGAGTCTCCGCTGCCTCTTTACGAGAAACTTTGAAGTCCTTAGACAAGCCAAAAGCAGTCTTACCGTAAGCAATCGAAAAGTTAAGTACTTTGGCGTTTTTGCGTTCGTTGCCAAACTTGTCCTTAAGTAACGGAGCAGGGGGCTCCTCACCACACGAATTATCCCATTCCAACAGTGCATCGCCATCCTCTACAGCTTTCGCCACGTAAGGATACATTCCCATGGCCGTGCGTGAATGGAAGTCGCCACCAGCCTTAAACGCCTCAATCATAGCTTTGCACTGCGTAATGTGAGCCATGAGCCGTAGTTCTAGCTGCGAATAATCGGCTACAATAAGTTTCTTGCCTGCCGGAGCCGTGAATGCATCACGAATTTTGTAGCGGTCCTTCGCCATTGCTGGTTGGTTCTGTAAATTCGGCTTTCGTGATGATAACCGGCCTGTGTCAGTGTTGAGATTCAACGAGCAGTGGACACGGCTATTGCTATCTGCGAGCTCCTGAAGCGGTAAAATAAAGTTGTTGAGCATGGTGTTGATACTGCTGATGTCAAACAGTGCCTTCAGTGCCACACACGCTGCAGCTCCCTCCTCTTTGTCCTCGAAATGACTATATGCCCGACCGTAGCTTGGAGGATCTGCCTCAGGCTGCACAAGGTATCCAAACACCAAAAGTAATCATCAGAATCAAGGTTCACGCGTCACAACTTCCTTCGGCATACGTACATGGCCTGCGAGATCTTTCAGCACTTCAGCGCTAGCTGCGGGAAGTCCACTCGCCGTAAAATGCGTAGGAGAGATACCCAAACCATGAATGGTGATGCTGCGCTTTTTCTTAGCCTTCTGTTTGCCCTCTTCAATGTAACCTTCCGTGTTTTCTACTTCAAACTCTCGTTCAGCAGGCAGCAAAAGTTTCTTCTTCTTATGATCAAAATACGGCGCAAACAGCAGTTGCTGCTTTTGCGCAGCGCTATATAAATTAATACGTTCGCTCTCGTCGCAGTAACGCGACGCCCACTTCAACACGAGCCGTTCAAGACGAGCACGGTCTTCCAGCGCCTGTTTCTCCACACCCGCTAGATAGACAAGATCCACGTGCATCCCGTTGCGCTCGATATCCGTCAGACACTCGCCGAACGGGATAAAATACTGACGATAAAAGTCGTACATGGATCCAGTTTGTGGGTTGTCGTCTTCTGTCGGAAAAGGTTTCTCCGACCAGAACGTCTGATCCAGTTTTTGCTGCAAAACACGATGCAGGAACCACGTGCTTTCTGCGTCGTATACGCTGTACCTGATCCACCTCTTTCTGAAATCTGGAAACCTCTGTAGCTCCTCGACTGTAGGCATGATCCTCTCTTTTCCTTTCGATCCGTCCTTTTTCAACTTTGGGATTCCAAATAGCTCCTTCATTGGTTTTTTCCTTTGGAGTAACAAATCTGCCGTCAAAGCTTCCAACGAGTAGCCTCCATTCTGGAACCTGGCAGTGTTCCAAAGTCTCGCCATGTGCATTGTATCCCCACCAAGACCTTGGACGTTAATACCGTGGTTAAACAGCACGTGGCGATCGAAGCTGTAATTGTGCCAGACCTTCATGTACCTTTTACTCTCTAGAAATTCCTTAAAGTATTGCAATGTCCCTTCAGCACTGTCTAAATTGTCTACCCAGACATATGGTCCATTGCCATAGTCCACATCAGGTCCACTATAAAGTGACAGGCACGTGACAATCCCGTTACCGACTGGACCCACGGCCTTAATGTCAATCTGTGCCACTTCCGTATCGCAAGCGTGGTAATGGTTAGGGCCCAGCTCTTTGATTTTCTCCAGTACACGACGTGCATCTTCTTCGTTCTGAATGAGGTTCACAGGCCGCGTATCGTCGTCTGCAGAGGTTAATCCATGCAACAGATGGCGGTCAATCTCGTTCGATGTCACGAACTGAAGCTGACGAGGAGCAAGAGCAGGATACGCGTACGCAGTCGCAGTCGAGAGGCACCGCAACGCGAGACGCCTCGATGACCTTAGCATTGTCAGTGGAATGGCTTCACTATTGGTGGTGGACAACGATTGTCGAACTACATAACTTGCAGTAGAATGATGGTCAAATTTACGAATTTACGAATTTACGTGATTCTCCTTTTCAAATTACAAAACTAGCACATGCTCTTCAAGTTATGGTTTCAGACGAGACACTAGGACGTCAAGAGGTCCTTTAACCTGCAGTGTGACAGCTTGACGATATGTGAAGTCAAAGGGATTTTTGACTGTCTTGAGATCGAACTGACTCAAGAGTTTGGCCATGGCGATTTTCACTTCGGTGAGAGCAAATTTCATGCCCAGACAATTGCGAGGCCCACCGAGAAAAGCAGTAAACTTGAACGGTGACACCACCTTGATCTTGCTCATATTCGGATCAAGCCAGCGCTCTGGTTTAAACTCGTTAGCATCCGGACCCCACACCGTTGGCATACGGCCCATTGAATAGTGGGGTAGGATCACTCGCGTCCCTGCTTTAATGAACGTGCCCTCGTACAACCAAACGTCTCGGGTCGCGGAGCGTCCAGTGCTCGCTACGACAGGAAACAACCGCAACGTTTCTCGAATAGTGGCTTCTAGATAAACAAGCTGCTGGAACTCCTTCATGCTTGGATTGTGCATTTTGCCACTTCCAAGGTCTGGCAGCTTGTTTTGTAGTTCATCACGGACTTGCTCCAGAACCTTTGGATACCTGTTCAGCATGACGATCACCCACGACATCGTCGTCGCCGTTGTCTCTCGTCCAGCTGATAAGAAGTTCAAAGTAAAATCCCGCATCAGCTTGAGGTCCTTCTTCGTGCGCGCGCCATTTGAGTATTCAGTCTCAGATTTCTCAATAAAGAGCGAAATGAGGTCTTTTCGAGAACTCGCGATCGATCCCTTTTGCCTCTTCTCCTCGATCGAGCGAGAAATGATCCCGTACACGAAATCGTCCATTACTTTGATATCTTTCAACATTTGTTTCTCCGGTCCGACGTTCAGCCAGCGCAACAGCTTCCAGACCCACGTTGGTTGCTGAACTCGTTCTAAAATCCGTACAGACATTCGCTCGAACGCATTGAGTGACTCAGTGTTCTGGTTGAATTTCACACCATCTAGATCGACACCAAACCCAACTTTTGTAAAGATGTCCATCGTGTACGAGTCCAATAGCTGCTTCATGTTTACAACTCGCTCAGCTTCATTTTCCTTTTGACATATCTCGTCAAGTCGCTTCACTAATTCCTTGCTCTTTTCGGGAACCACTACCTCCATGGTATATTGCACCATGTTTACAGTGAACAAGTGACTCGCAGTCTTGCGTTGGTGTTGCCACAAAGGCCCATGAACAGCAAAGATCCCATGACCCAGTACATCGTACATTGCTTCGAATACATTGGGGCTCTTTTCAAATGCGTCAAAATGCGTCTTTAAAACATCCTCAAAAGCTTCGGGAGAGCTAAGCACAATATATGGCTCCCTCCCCATGAATCGAAAACACCAAGGCTTACCTTGATACTTGCGGCAATAGTAGAGAATCCAGTCGATGAACCCGCCAGACTCATTTGCCTTCAAAATCTCCAGTGAGTTGCGCAATATCGGGTAATCGCCTTCAGGAGTCGGTAGATGCTGTACAGCGCGGTCTTGAGCTGAAGGGATCGTCAAATACACGACAAGCATTGCTATGGACGACACGGCAATTGACGCAGGACAAACCAACTGAGTTAAAGCCTCAAGCTTCATGTTTTCGTTTGTGTCAAGAAACAAATAGAGTTGACTACTACGGCTTATATAGATAAAGCTTTACTTCTTCACTATGCTGCAATATGGAAAGTAAGGATGAAGAGTGACACTCTACTAAAACGAATGTATCAATCCCCTCATAAACTGATCACTCAATCCAGATCATTTGAAGTGTAACAGGTTACACGAGTCCGTTAAGTATATGACACTTGCCTGGGAAGTCTAAAAGGTTACGTATTACCTTAGACCTTCCACTTGGGTGAGGCACATCAATGTAACCCACCCTCGTGAATGTGATATTCATTGACGAATTGACATTTGACGGGGATGACGCCCAGCTGAGACTAGGCGTCACGATGACGTCACAGACGGACGTCATCAGCAAGCTTAAATATATTTAAGCTCGCACGTAGGGATGCGCTTTTAAGGAGACGCGTATTCGACCTTTACAACTAGCCTTCCTGGAATTTTGTTCACAGCAGCGGTCTTCGAGCCCCCCGATTGGGCGCTACAACAACTGGACCATCTCTACAAACAATTTCTCTGGAAATCGTCCAACAAGATCGAACTCGGGAGACACAAAGTCGCCCCAGGCCTACTTTACACTTCACGAAAGGCAGAAGGAATTGGCCTAGATTCCGTCCCATCGCCATCAAACACAGCGGGTGAAACACGCGCTACTGGCACTTCCTCGGTCGGAGGATGTGTATCTTACAGCGTGGGTATCCTAGATTACGCATGGTGCACGTAACACGAGCGTCAGCCCGCATCGACCGAGCGTAAAAACATCGTATCGCCGTCTTCCGAGTGGTATCCGAATCTAATTCATGAACCCGGCTGCACAATAAAGCCATATAACGCGCAAACGGAGGAAATCCTCGCACGAGTACGGGACTATCTACCGAGCCTTCAGTCATCATCGATCAGTTGGTGGGAAGAAAATGACTGGATACTGTATCTCTTTGTGCCCCTTCCCTGTCGGCCTGAGTTTTGGTTCCAGGAGATCAAAGATTTCTGGCAGATTATTTGGTGGAGTGGAAAATTTGGATTCTCACACCGCAGGCGATAGAGCTGTCCCGATCCACGAATGACAGAATTGGGGATGTCTCCCTCGAACAACTCCACATCCAATGGACTGGCCTTCAAGAATACGTTTTCAGCGGCATTGGCACGGATGTCCACGCCCCCCGCCATTCGCATGCGAAACTTTGAGAATGGGTAATCATAGTCTTATTTTCGCCGCCATCACAAGACGTGGAAAACTCGGTAGGGTGAGGGTGTCCAATCCCATTGCGGCTACGGCAACTTGGTACCATAAGTTTAGCTGCCCAGGACGAACATTGCACGTATCTGGAGTGTGTAGGCCAAAAAGAGACCCAGGAGCATCTCTTATGTGGATGTTTCCGTGCTCAAGCAATCTGGGCCGGCTTATCAGTCATTAGGAGAGTATACCTTTACATCCTCCCTACCTACTGAATTTGCTCGCACTGCGCAAACTGTAGCGTACCACGCATCTCGCCGCAAGTCACAGCAAAGCTGTTAGCCCGGTACCCGGAAGACATGGATCAATTCGCCACAGTCTGGAGGACGATATGGGAGGTCGCAGTGATCGTCATCATCACAATGCTCTGGCAACACCGCGTGGCCAGCCTTTTTTCACAATGCGAATATCCCGATGCAAGCCAGTGAAGCTTTGATCTGGGGAAGGATTCAGCTCCAACTGAAGGCGCTCATCAAACGTCTCCATTGCAGGGCTGATCCAGCCGTCCGTGGCGCCCAACTATCTGAATGTTACGACATATTTGTAACAGAACCGAGAGGGCAGACCGGCTTTCATAAACGAGCGAGCTACCAGCCGTAGGCAATGCCTGGACCCTCCAGCGTTGCTAGTGTGGTTAACTCCTACCGAGAGATCTTGCACTAATCAGTTAATAGACAATCTGTGCTCTTTCTCTCTCTACATTTAGCCAATCAGTTGTTCACCCGTCGTTCCGTTACACGACACGCACATCACTGTTGTAATTCGTGCTCCTCTACAATTTATAGGGTAGGATTGTCGATCACTACGCATCACTTTTCGTTGGACTATGTCCGCTACGTGACTAGTACATTGCTGTATCAAGTTTCATATGGTAAGTGTAAGCCACCACTTTCAAGAGGATGGTGCAAGAAGTAGCAGTACACTAGTCGCTCGTTTTACTAAAAAGACTTTGTCGCATGATGAACTACTACACTACAGAAAACGTGTTCGCGTGAGTGACTTTGGCGTTAATTTTTCAGTCGTCATCGACACCCAGTAGTACGACAAACTCTTTTGTATCTTCACACTTTACGATTGGCATTCATTGTCGCATTCATGATTAACAGTTTGAAGCTCGACATGCAACGTGTTGTCAACGTCAGGGTATCACTGGTCACTCGTAATGAATCGATTACACAAACGTAAAATTGAAAATTCGTAAAGAACTTGTAGTATCAATTGTATACACACGGATAATACTGTTGCAGCTTTCGACAAAGACAGAACACGCCACATAGTGGATGGACGTTCAACAGCTTGTCTACTTGAAGGCGGTTATATAGAGAGTCTCACGCTGAACCACGTAGTCCAGAACTCCCGAAAATGACGGTCTTGCGTTTCATCTGAAGCTCGATTGGATATCATCCCAGCGTTCTGCTGTCGATTAGGAAAATAAATGTTGCCAACTTTAAACCTGAGTGCCAACTTGACCCTCGAGTTTGGAAAACTGCTGGTCGTTTCGCAGTACATGTTCTTGATTTCCCTTCGACGCTTAGTCGTGTCTTGGAGCCAAGTTAGCGATGCTCAAGCTGAGGTTGCCATCGCAAAGATGTTAAGCAAGTTGTTTTTTCGAAACACGTAAGACCTGTGTGAAAAAATGGCTTGATGCGTTCATCTCGCTGCCAATCAGGAGCATCAAGGTGCTTCCTAACGCTATCAATGTTGTTTACGTGAAAAGTAGGTCTGAATGTCATTGTATACACTCACCATCAAGTTTTTGCGTGATTGCTCTTCTTTAGGTAGCGAGTTTTATTCTTTTAAAAGCGATTTTACCACATGAATCGAGCAGTGGATCCATCAACCCAGCTATAAGGGTGATAAAGATAAATGTATAGCGTCAGCGCATTAACGACCACATACACAGCGACCACTGTCCACAGATGGAAGGCAGATTGCTACAATGACGATTGGACCGTTAGAGCTTTGTACCCACCATAATCATCAGACAATGCGTGTAATACTTACGTTGCTGGTGTTTAAGTGGAGGATTGCAAAAGGAACACAATAATATCGCAGTCTGGTAACACAGATACAACATGTGAGTATTTGTCGCAGTCTCCGGTACAAACTGTGTTGCAAACTAAACACGCACTCGACAAGCGGTGATGGAATGAGGACCAAGCACACTGCAAGTGTGAAAACAAGTTTCCACAGCGGTGAGCGCCTTCTTCCTGAAATCAAAAATGATTGTAGTGAGTACCTTTTCCATAAATTTGAATGAATGTCCATACCTAGTTCATTCCAGCAGTACCATCCAAAAAACAAGTATAACGGAGCAGGCAAGAATTTGGCCAAGTCGTGCTTCAGAAAGAACTTCCTCCATACATAGAAAGTGTAATGCCTGTTGTCTGCCAGCATGAACTTGTGCACGGGACTGAAGCGAAAAATGATTCCGACAGTCGCTGCAACCAGGAACATCATAAAAAGCAAGCCTCGAATCGAACTAGCGTTTCTGCGCACCGATCCTGCAAACGTCAATAGCTGGGTAGGCGCAACAAGACTAAGCCCGAAGCCGGAAGCTGCCACTACAATGAAGTATAGCACCTGGGCTCCGTGGAAAGTCACTTCATGATTCGATCTGTCTCCTGAGCAACAGTATAAAGCATCGCATAGTAAGAACTCACTAGTTCACCAAACACGTTTATCGCGACTATCGTTCAAGCTTACCCACAACGATGCTGCCGCCATTTATCAAGAGGAAACAGATGAAGCCCGCCACAATCACAACGAATGGCCAGACAATATGGAGAATGGACGGGAGATTGGACACAACGACGCTGATGAAGTTTAGGAAGACCCTTGTAGAGCTAAAGGAAGAGCCACAAACGTCAAAAATAGTCGGCGCGGTTAGTGCCTGGTGAGGTCTGTCAAGATGCTCATCTCGTAACTTACCTGTGCGTGGCAGATAAAGCACCACAGTAGCTTGTCTGCTTTTTCAACAACGACCTGGCATTATCACATTCAGCATCGTAAGGCACGTCTTATGTAGCAATAGCGACTCGTGTTCACCTTACCCATAGATGAATTTTGAGTGGCCAAGCTCCACGCATCGAACGACGACCGTGCCGGCCACAAAAACTACCCAGACAATATTTGTCTGGCGAAAAAGCACCGCTAATGCACCACTCTGTCAACATTGACTACATGTCAAACACACTTTAAACAACAACGGCCTGTGTTACTCACCATAGCACTGAGCAAAAAGCTGCCTTTTGCCGGTGAGTACTGCAACAAATCCACTCTTTCCGCCAGTAACACCATGAACAGCACAAAAAAAGTTGCTCCGCTATCCGTGTAGAATAGAAAAGTAAAGAAGAATAGCGGCGGAAACATTGCAATGCGCAGTGCATGGAGCAGAGCATTGGGATCCTGCGGACTCACGTGGTGTCTCAGCAGCACACACAACAGCACATTGCCTAATGTAAACACCACATTTACACTACGCAGCACCGACACGGAGCAGAAATCAGCCACATTGGTCCAGGAGGCCACGTTAGCGTACAGCACCAACACCAAATAAAGCCCTGGGAATGTCGTGATCTTGGGATCCCATTCGTCTACATAGAAGACAAAGTACTGACACTGTCAAAGCCTTGAAAGATTGACATCTAGGTCAGAACTTGAATCTGAAACTTACCAAAGCGACCATTGCAGTATTTTTGAGCTTGAGGAACGTGGAAAATCTCGTCCTATGGACGAATTAAGATAGTGAGTCAAAGAACTGAATGGGAGACAATGGAGATGGGTGCGGTTGGATTTTCTTGTACCATGTAAGGATCTGGGACGATTTTGTTCACTATTGCAAGTATCCAGGAAAACAGTAGACCCAATACGGTGATAATAGACAGGAGAGGGAAGAACGAGCGAGACAAAACAACTCCATTAACTCTGCGTATTGCCATGATAGGTCTATGATGATACGGATTGGCTGAAATAGAGTTTTCTTATACATGTTACAACACTAAATCTGGCAAGCCGGAGCCTTGTAATCGACTTTTTATCTTGCTTTATGCAAAAACCGTCAGTATCGCTCTGCCTTGGTGTTGGATGTCTTACCATGCGAAGCACCATCACTTTGACGCAAAACAAGATCTCGAAGAACCATAGCATAATTGTATATTGTGCGAGGCTTGTAGTCCTTGCTTTCGTCGATAGGTATACCCGATATAGAGATCCATACACGAATACTTTCATGCTTCATACACTGTTTCCATGGTTGAAATCTACATTTTCACCTATCCATTAAGAGGATAAATAGGTCAAATAGGAGATGTACGTCTTTGTGCACCCTTTAACCTGTACAATCTTTGCGTGTCGAATCATACCTTTGCCACAATAACTTAAAGTTGAAACTATACATTTATTAGCAGGTCACCCACGTCTTAAGAGTGCTTTACTGCCTAAAATGATACTAACGTAACAGTTGACTTCTTTAATTGCTGCATAGTTCCGGCTCCCAACCATGCACTAAAACCGGCCTATAATGATACTTCTTCGACTGATAACTTGTCTTAGCTGATAGCTTCCTCTAGTTGCAAGGGTATCACTTTGGGCAAGTTTTTCTAAATTTGGTGGTGAATCACTAAACAGCTGCTTTACACTTTACAAAAGCACAAAAAAACGAAAGGTCTCTGTCATAATCTAATTTCTATCACATTAGGTGATGTCGGTTCGTCCCGACACTTCAGTGTGTGCGAGTCCAGACGTCGCGGCGTCGCCCAGAGGTAGCGACATCTGTTCTCCACCCGCTGAACCAGTGTTCGTCAGCCGCCGTCGCTACGAAAGCGACGGCTGTTCGAGTAACGTGTCGTTGATCCAAAATGCAGACACTAGGAGCTGCGATGTTCAGGACGAGGACAGCCACTCTAAGCCGAGACATTCTAGCATTAGATCACAATCCCCTTCTTCTTCTACGTCGTCCAAGACAGAGGACAAGGTCAAGAGTGATGATGACCAACGCAGACTGAAGCAGAGCCAGTGGTTGCCGTCGCTGTCCCCAGGCAGTTCGGCGCTGCTGCAGTTAAGAGAGCAACAGCGCAGCAATAATAGTAGCGCGTCGTCTCCTTCAAGTAGTAGCAGTATTCGAAGGTCTATCTCGACGGTCGACGCCTCGACGCAAAACCAGTTATCATCTCAAAACGAAGCTAATGCTAATGGAGCGAGTTTCCCGACGCCTCTGACGTCTTTCCATCGTCGAAAGGAAGAAGGCAACCCGCTTATTCCGGATGAAGATATGACCGACGAAAAAGACGACATGGCGGACGATGTCGGAGACAAAGATCCGCCCACTTCGCCGTCACCGATCGACCGGCGAGTTGTGCGCATCATGTTCCACGAACGCGAGATTTTCGCCGAAGATCTGATCGGACTTCGTGTCGCCAAGACTTTTGCTGGACGTGGACGCTTCTTGGGACAGGTGGTAAAGTTTGATAAGAGGACGGCGCTCTATACGGTAGTATACGCTGATGGCGACGCTGAGAACCTGACGGTGGATGATACGCTGCAGATCTTGATCCAGGACGAGATTGAGCGTGCTGATCCATCTAATCTACCACCTGCCGTCTCGCTGCTGTTTAAAACGAACAAAGACGGATCGTCGCCTCCCAGTCCAGACACCGGCGACTTTATGACGCGGCCTGCACCTCGTCAGTGCCAAAGTAGCACTTCGCAACGCCGTGCGCGCATTCAGATCAGCGAACGCGAGGCGCAGTTCGTGATCAGTTTGTTTGAAAACCATGCGCTTCCTGCTCTCGTGCGACAAGGCTGGCGCTTGCTGACTAGTAGCTCTGGAAAGGATAAAACGCGCTTTGTCTCCGCTACCGGGGAGATTTTCCAATCAGAGCTGGATGTCGTTGAACATATCGCTTTGGATAACGAGCTCTTAATCTTGTGCTTCCCAGCGAATGTGCACTCAGCTATCCTGTCATTACTACCTGGTGAAGCTGGTGTGAGCTCCACAGCTTTTACAGGAACTAGCAGTAGACACGGAAGCACCAAAATTGTACCACGGAAGCGCACCACCTCAGACTCTCCAAGCGCCGGACACTTTGATAGCAAGCGAACACGAGGGACGCCCGATGAAGCTTATGGGAGAGTTGTTGTCCCGATGCGCGCAGGTGTGGTACGAGATAGTAATATCGTGCATCACCGATACAATGACATGGATCGGTGTACTGAAGATGCAAACCGCATGTCCGCCTATCACAGGCAAGGAATGGGCGGACGCATTCGTATGTCAGGTGATCGTTTTTTTGGAGGTGAGACCACGAATGAGGCTCGCGTTCAAGCCCCGCCTGAACTGAGAGAATATCGTCGCACTTCTGGCCGCGACCGGACCCTGGAGAACCCTTTTTCTTCGAAATGGTCTCGCACTGAGTCAGTCCTTGATCGTGAGGAAGATGCTAGATATTGCAGCCGTTATGTGAACACGCCTGGATGGCGCGAACGAGACGACGTTTTTGCGATGGACCGCGATCTCGAAGTGCATTGTTACAATCGTTTTCGTACGGAATCACGCTATACTCATCGATTAAACTCACGGATTTCGGCTGATGCTGACGACGGTGCAAATGGTACTGCAAATGGAACATCAACTGGCTTCTATCGAGACCTGACGGAGTCTAAAGCTTGTAATCAAGCGAGTCCAATGGCAAATGGTTTCGCCTACTCTCAATATTCAAACCTTCGAGCGGAAGTTAGTACCAGCAATCGCACGTCTGCTCCGCCCCGAGTTTCGCGTAAAACAGCAAGTTTCATGTCTCCTACGGACAATCTCGGTTCGACTGCAGCATTTTCAGTGGTAGATTTTGATCGTGTCTCTACGAAGCGACCTGGGAACATTCATACAGAGTAGCTTGAGAACCAAGCAGAAACTTACGCAGTCTGAGTCACTTTAACTTGTCATCATTTACGTCACTTTGTTGAGGGGAGATAGCGATTAGTTGACTGAAGTGTAGCCATTTTTGAATTCATGGCTGACGTACCTGTAACGGCTGCTGCTCCGTCCTGCAGCCCGTTAATCGCCACAGACCTTGAGCGGAAGCACGTGCATAAGGTTTATGACCTCATCGCACCTCATTTCAGTCATACTCGACATCATCCATGGCCTCAAGTGACTGAATTTCTAGATAAGTTGGCATCAGATGCACTTGTGGCTGACATTGGCTGTGGCAATGGCAAATACCTTCGTGCAAACCCCTCATTGTGTATGATTGGGGCTGATCGTAGTATCCCATTGATGCATGCTGGAGCTCCGATAGACAGGTATGTCATGTAGTATTCCATTGCATTCGATTTCATTGCAATGAACGGGGATTAATTGAGACCTTGTCACATGTAGCAACTTGTTGGGGTGTGATGCACTAAAAGTGCCACTACGGACCGGAGTATTTGATGCAGCCCTATCCATTGCGGTATTGCATCATGTCTCGACGGAGGCACGTCGGGTTGCACTCGTCAGGTAGAATTTTTAGCGACGGTATGGGGCTATCAAAGCGACTCACATTAACGTCATGTTTATTTAGTGAGTTAGCCCGCTTGGTGCGAGTTGGCGGACAGGTGATGATTGTAGCTTGGGCATTCGAACAGGATGAGAACTCAAAGCGCCGTTTTGAACAGCAGGATGTTATGGTGGAGTGGAAACTCCAACAGAAATACGCCAAAGACGACGAGGATATCGGTACAGAATCCCACGGGCAAATTGATCGCGAAAAACGGTGGGTAGTATATGAACGCTACTGTCATGTTTATCGTCGCGGCGAACTCGAGTCACTGATGGATCAGGTCCCAGACCTTGAACTGGTATCGGTGGAGTACATTCGGTCCAACTGGTGCCTTCGCTTACAGCGCATTGCTTAGCTGGAATAAATGCTCTCGTTTTCGTGGACTTTTTTGTCTGTCGATTTTTACGACTCAGCAGCATTGATGTAGCTGCTACCAAAGGTAGCCACGGTGGTGATGCTGATACGAACAACAGCAGCGTTGAAGACAGCGTGTCACCTACATAGGATCAGGCAAAAAGCGAGTTCATTTCAGGGCGGATAACACCAACGGTGTGTCGCGGATAGCGCAGCAAGTTGAGCGAGGTTTGGCCACTTTATTGAAGTGTTATTGGTAGAATGCTTCTATCTTACAACGATTGCCAGCGCAGACCGATTAGAAGATCGAAACAAAGAAAGATGTGATTGTTTCTGAGTGAAATGTTTGATGGTTTGGTAATGCATTGAGTATTCGAACACTTGTGCTACTAAGCCTTTCCAACAGTCCGATTAAAAAATGCATACGCTACTAAACTACGTCGATGCTATATTTGAAGCATTACACTGCTCTTGTCACTTGCTGTTCTTAGTTGGAGATGTCGGCCATACAACTTGAAGTTCGAAGCGACTGGTTTCTTCTGGCCTTTAATTGGCGGTCTTTTTGCCGCCATAGTGACTTTCACCATCTTGATTAGGTGCACTAACTATGGCCGCCGTTGGTGCGGCGGCAGGTATACCTGCTGGATTTACGTTAAGCAGTATAATTTTATGCTATTTGCTTACGTCTTATACCGGAGAAGCTGAAAGCTCACAGAGCTCGCTTCCTTCCAGCACGCTATGACTTCCTACTGAAAGTGCTACCTCGGCTTTGTGAAACTTGCTTATAAATTTCACTGGGGTCACATCTTTCTTTAGTATCGTTCTACGTCAGGCGACTCAAGGCTTACCTACCGGCGGATCTCCCTTCGAATCTTCCCCGCTCTCTGTGCCGGCTCAATATCCATATTTTCTTGACGACGACGCTGACGACGACTGGGACCAAGTCCTGCCCGAACGCGTGCAGACTCGATATGCTGGGGTCGTCCGAACGCAGGCGTCTCAAGCTGACGTAGGCATTCAACCAGTACCAGCTGCTCACGTCGTGTCCGCTCAGCAGCCTCAGTCGCAGCATCCGCACGATCTTGAGCTCACTCAGCCATCTCGCAAGCATCAAGTAGGGCATTCTTCGACTCCTCGTCTTCAGCGCGAAGTAGGCGCTGCTCATCATCCGACTATACATGCGCCCGATTGCAAGAATCGGCGCTCATCGCCAGAGGACTTCCGTCGTGATGCTACTCCTCTCTTAATTGATGCATCGGGTGCGCGGCGCTGGATTGTCGACCGAATTGTCGATCACGAGGATCATAAGTTTTATGCGCCGAGTAATAACTCGGCGCTCACAAAGAACCACGTCGAGCAACATTACAGGGTTCTCTGGATAAGATATTCGCCGGCGGACGATATATGGGAACCTCGAAGTATGCTGGCTCAGGATATACTAGACGTGGTCGAGAATTATGAGTCGCGTAGGAAGACGGCGATAGCGAGCAACGCTGCCGAATCCAGCCTTAATCTTGCGAGCCGTGATGCTCGCGAGCAGCAGAACCTTGACTATGAGTCCCCGAGCGATTCCGAGATTTATTATGAGGCTCGAGAAAACTTGGATGGCATTTGGGACTATGTGAAGTGCCATTGCGAACCGAATTTGGCGCACGTGGGGATCGAATTGGCGACATCACGATCAAGAACTCAGTGGTAAACCACTGCACCAACGGAATGATAGCGAATGAAGAGTTTCGTTATGAGGTCTAGCAATACTGGATGATTAGCTCCGATAAAACGGTATAGCGTCCACGGGATCAAGTGTGCGTCCGTGACTCGCGGTGTCTGCTCCCTGCAGATCGTACGGTTGATGTCGTCAGATATATCCTTGCGCGCGCGGCCAGTGTCATGCTGCTCAGTTATGTGTCACTGAGCAGGTTCAAGGTTGGGTCGCTGCATTTTTGGTGCGAAGAATCATTTTTATGTTATGTGCTTACGTTTAAAGAAGCGCAACTTAAAGAAGGGGGTGATGTAATGGGGTAACCTATTACATAAGTAGTTATAGGGATAATACATAATTACATAAGTAGGCATGGGGCAGTATCCGATTAGCGCATACTGCGCCTCATTTTATTATTAGTTTATTATTAGGGTGCCAGACCCAATAATTAGCCAATAAGAAATTGACTTCCATATTGAGTGGTTCCCATGAGCTAGGGAGCATATTCGCACTTAATGCGAATTAAAATAATACAAAAACATAAGAAGACCCGCATTTACGAGTTAATTAGGAGCGCTTCCTCAACGCCCTTCTAGTGTAAGACGATGACGGGTTCTTAGCCTGTTACACCTTCTCTCTATTCAGCAAAGCGTTCTACGCCTGCGACTGAACGGCAGCAGGATTAGCAGCCGCGAATAGCTGGGAGTAATTGCCGCTCCTATCGGAAGCCACCTGGGTTGGTGGATGCGGGTGGGAACATACACTTCCTTTTTGAAAGGTTGTTGGCCCACCACCATGTGAAGCAGAAGCTTCAGATCCTTGTCCAATGGAAAGGACAACGGAAGTGTTTCGACTCTTGGGAACAGGTTTATGCGTTGACCGTCGGCGTGACTGGGCTGGTGGCTGCTTACGAGCAGAAGAACCATCTGCACTCTCTCTTCTAAGCCCTGATGGACTAGCAGGGGCGGCGTGACGAGAAGGAGCTGGAGGTATTTTTATTTTCCAATATCTCTCTCGCACGCGTCATAGAGAATCGGATTCTCTGCGACAGCTGTTTCACTGCATCTGCATGCGGTTCAAAACCGACCAAGATCTTTGCCTCGCATTCGTCTGTTGTTTCGTTAGAACTTAACACGACGGGGATAGGGAAATCACGAACTAGTGCTTTGCCCTGCCGTTTCCATAATGAAATGACGCTAAATGTTTATTAGCGTCAAAAGTGGCACACTAAGGAGCGTCGCACTATTACCACTCGAGCGTGACCACTCGGATGGTGGTGGAATTCGTGGTAAGTTACCAGTCATGTATCCGCCATCGCGACGGCGAGCTAATGAGGCCGACTGTGAAGTCTATGGTGCTTTTTGCTCAACCCAACCAGAGTCTGACTCTCCATTATGGATTGTCAAGACTTCATACGTAGGGTAGACATAGGTAGGCAGACGAATCGCCGACTTGCTGTTGATCCGCGGCTGTTTCTTTCGAAGCAGAGTGCTCAGTTGTGGTCGCTGCGCTCGTTGACGCAAACGACAAGGCATGAACTTCGCTGTCAGGAAACATGGTAGCTTTTTCATGGATGGGTGCCACAAATGATGGGGACAAATTTACCATCAAAGTACTGTGATCATCACCACTTTGGGGTGATAACAATGGTGTTCTCTCATTGTAGTCAACAATGAGAGACAAGTCTTCATCCTCACCATAGTGGGATGTACCAGTGTTCTCTGCTGACAAGATGACATCAGATGTCGGCGTTTTCACAGAGACACTTAGCGACGGCTGCGAGTTATCGCGGCGCGTACGCTTTTTGCTGGTCTGCATGGGAGTCTTTGTAGGCGACCCATTAGCCTTAACACGCATCTTCTTGCTTTCGGTGATTTACAAACAAGTAAAAATCGTCTTAATGAGGAGGATGGTGTAACGGACCAATAGTTACACGATATATGACATTTAACGGGGAGGTCTAAAAGGGTACGTGGTACCTTAGACCTCCCACTTGGGTGAGGTACATCAATGTGACCCACCCTCGTGAATGTGATATTCATGGATGGATTCATATTCGGCGGAATTGACGCCCAGCTGGGACTAGGTGTCAAGGTGACTTCACAAATGGACGTGATCAGTGAGCTTATATATAAGCTCTCACGTAGGGATACAATTCTCAAGAGACGCGTATCCGATCGTTACATTTAACCAATTAGTAGTTACATTTACGTTATATTATTTTCCTTCACATATGATTCAGTCTAGCATTTCCTAATTACTGCTCACTGCACACGAGAAGCTGATTCAGCTTCGGCGTGTAGCAAGTGAAGCTCTTGTCTAGAAGTTCGTTGCGCGGTACGCTTCGGCGACCGGCAATCATTGGTACGACCGCCTAAGCGGTCGAGCTACACCCCACCACCGCGCACGGAGATTAGACGTTCTAAACGCTAAATTTTGTGTGCCAGCGTAGTACGTGGCAGCTTCTTTCGAAGTGCCTTTTACAGTCTAGGTAGGCAAGACACTGTTAAACACCAAATTTACATATAGGTCTCGCTTTAGCACAGCCTAACATTTTAACGACACGTCTCACATCTTTAGGACTAGTCAAACTAAAAAATTGGTCTACTTTCTTTCCAGTAGTCTACACCTTGGGGCTGGAGCCACTTATGTTCAAAGGGATCGTCTGGTTGCCCAGGTCTGCTTTATAAAATATTTTTAATTATTTGTTCATGTACAAGACATAAATATCAATAAGTAATAACCTTTGTTAAGTTATGGATATAGTTATCCCTCCGTACTTATAACTCCACGAAGGGAGCTCTGTACTTCTTTTGAACAAGTAGAAAAGCCTCAGAATTCCACCAATCAGGAGTTCATATCGATCGTTGCAACTTTTATATTCTGACCAATCCAAACATAGTCCTCCCTTATAGCTCTTTTCCCTCAACCCTAATAGTCAGAAAACACCATCGTAGGACGACTTGTACCGTACCTACTTGCAAACTTTCGCAACGGTGCATTAAAACGCCGAGTTTAGTAGGAAGTAGCACCCAAAGAAGAAGAAGAAGAAGAAGAAGAAGAAGAAGAGAACAAGTTAAAACAGCTGCGTGTCTCCCCACGCACTGTAAGAAAGAACGACGTCATCTTCTACCTATCGCAGCAGTTACAGCAGCATCGTATCTCCCCCCGTGCCTCTGCTTCAGTCTCCTCGTGTCATTATGTATGATGAGCGAGTGGCTCCTCCTAGTCAGAGTCAGAACTGTCAAACGTCAAGTTCCCAGTCTCTTGCAGTCTCATCAGCGAATGAACATCCAGATGTAAACATGGTGCAGGATCAGCCGCCTCCTGCAGCTCTTCAGACGTGTATGCAGTCCACCACCCGCTGGTTTCAGCTCGTCATGTTTTTCGCCTTTGTAGTGGCTCTTGTGCTGGCCATGAGCAGTTCTTACGACAACTTGAGTCCTGGTCTCATATGGGGTGGCTTACTCTCAATCTTTTCTGTCTTTTTTGTCATCTTGTCGTACGCCAGTGTACCCAGTTACCGTCAGCACCCAAATCCGCTCGTGTTTTGGCGCACCATCGCAGACGCCGTCTTTGTAATGCAGCTCATGGCACAGCAGTTTGTACGCTGTCTCTTCTTTGGCTGTGTTCCACTCTGCAACAGCACCAATCTACAATGTGGTTGCAGCACTGACACTGTCGCTAGCTCTACATGCGACGCGTTTGCCGGTCTTTTCGAGTTCACGTTGCTTGCCTCCGAGTGCTGGTTCTTTTGTATGACGGCCAATCTGCTCATGAGTCTCACGAACCCCTTTACGGACTTTAAACGGAACACGAGAATGTTCCATCTCGGCTCGTGGTTGGTGCCGTTCGTTTTTAGCCTCCTGCTCATGAATATAGACGACTGGGCTGGATACTCGGATCTTGGTGTGTGCTGGACCAATGCGCTGAAGAATTTGGAGGCTGACGACATGGCCATCTGTCCTGTTGGATACGAAGTCACGGATAATTTTTCCAATGACTATAAGGCCGTGAACGCCAACATAATTAGCTGGCTCTTCTTTTACATCTGGATGGGACTATTCATTATTTTCGGCATTGCCGTCTGGGTCTGGGCCTGGAAGAGGCTAAGTGAAGGCATGCCCGAGACGTACGCGGTTCGAGTACAGAGCATCCATCGTGCCAGGTTTAATGTGTTTGCAGTGACGTTCTACTGGATTATTGTAGTAATCGTTTACATCAAGTTCTTGTCCCGCGACCGCTCAAAACCGGATAAGTCGAGCGAGCTCTTGAATTTTCTTATTGCGGGGAAAGGATACCTTGATCTGGTCATTTGGTTCGCGTTGAACGATTTTCACGTTGCACACTTTACGCGGTGTCTTGGAGAGAATACAGACGAGATTGACGTGGATCTGAACCCGCAGGTGAATGCGGCGTTGCGTCGAGAAGTGCTTTTCTACACCACGTCGGGTATTATTCAGGCTGTGCAGGCTGCAGAGCGTTTACCAGCGTCACAACGCATCCAGCACTTGGCCTTGCTGCCACAGATCAAGGCCAGTAGCATTCCAGCTGCTGCGGCGTTCACTGCAGTTCCTGTTAGTGAGAGTGACAATGTTGCACACCCATCAGCAGCTGATGCAGCTTATCGCCAGCAGATGCCGGCTGATGGCGAACGCGAAGGAACAAATGGTGCAACTGCTTTTGACGAGAACATGCGTGTGGCTAAGAATTCGCCTCGTACTAAGACATTCCATGACTACGAACCTCACGCATTTAAGAAGATTCGTGAACGATTTGGTGTCAACAACGATGCTTACTTGCAGGCGCTTTCGGCCACGGCCAAGGAGCGTCTGAGTGAAGGTGCAAGTGGAGCCTTTATGTTTTTCTCAGCCGATGGTTCTCTTATCGTGAAGAGTACGAGCAAGGAAGAATGCTCGTTTCTGCGCAGCATTGCTCAGGACTATGCCGATTACCTGTGCGCTAACCCTCGCTCCCTATTACTGCGCTTCTATGGCTGTCATTGTCTTGAGTTGTACGGCAAACAGTTCTCATTTGTCGTCATGGCGAATCTTTTCGATACCGACCAGGTAATCCACTCACGTTATGACATTAAAGGCTCGTGGGTGAACCGCCACGGCGACCTGCCGAAGCGTGGCAAAAAGGTGACATGTCGTCATTGCAACCGCAAGTATATGTATCAGAACTCAGCCCCCGAGAATGCCAACTGCACGGTTCGGCTCGGGGGGCACGAGCCAAATGTGGTGTTAAAAGACTCGGACCTTACACAGAAACTTAATCTCGATCGTGATGTGGCACTGGATCTGTATCAGCAGCTCTGCGCTGACTCACAGCTACTATGCTCTTTTGGTATTATGGACTATTCGCTACTGATGGGTATCAACGAAGTCGAGTATGTGGTGGATGAAAACGACACAATCGACGAATCTGATGTGACCAACACACCGCTCCAGTCTAATGTACAAGGCACGAAACCTGGAAGCAATCTGCAACGGTCTTCAGTATACAATCCGTTTACTGAAAATTCGATGATGGACTCACGCAGTGGCGGTGCGCAGAATTTGGCAAGATCGAAGAGGCCATCTGCAGTGCAGGCTACATTTTCGAAGCCTCTGCGCCACGCAAGCGTATCATCGAACGTTGGGTTTCACAACACCCGCTCGGCGCTCGGCGAGCCAGTGATGCAGCGAAAGGCGTCAAAGCCGCCTGAATATTCACACACCCCGAGCCGCAAAGGGCGTGTTGAAAGTACTACGTCTTCGTCTGGAAGACGGCTTCCCCGCTCAGGGATGCGCATGGCGAACACAGTTGTGGGCCCAGCTTACTACCACCTTGGTGTGATTGACATTCTGCAGACATGGACATATCAAAAGCGTATGGAGCGCTTCTTTAAGATTGCTTTCAGAGGCGTAGACGGAGACGGATTGTCTGCTATCTCACCGAAGTTATATCAGGCACGTTTCCAGCTCAAGATGGCTGATATTCTTGGTGTCGAAGACCTCGTTAACGGCGACCATGATTTGTTCACACAGCAAAACGCACACATGGATGTGGACACTCAGCAAGAGGACCAGCAATTTAATGTTCACTCGATTCGATCACTGGCATCGTCTGAACTTGTAGCTATTAATCCCCTGGACTCGCATTACAACAGCCGTTCGTCTTTAACCTTGCGACAGCGTAGCACGGAAAACTCACAGTCCGTCGGCCAAGACACTGAGGAGTACACAGGCATCGATTACCACTTGTAGGAAAAACCAATGCAATGCTAAAGCCGATTTTGTACATTGCAAAGCAGTGAGACATCATTCGAACGGCGCACGGAGTGCATACTGAAGATTATCTGAATGCTTGCACGTTATCAGTCAGATTTGGAGAGGGGGCTCGTGAGTGTTGTCGTTGAAGGACCATGTTGTTTTGAGTGACCGCGGGCACAGCACCATGTTAATAATACACTGTAAAGCAGAGCCGTGTTCAATGTACTGCTCTATTTTCTCATTTTTGTCAGCGTATGAAGCTGATTAGGTGGAGCAAAAGGACACGAACATTAGTACATCAATTCGAATATCGAGTCATGGATCATCTAAAGCTTCGTGCTTATGCCAATCTTCAGTACGACAGAAGACTCGTCTGCTAGAGCGAAAGCATTGTTTAGGGAAATGCAGTCGACGTATAGCTATAGAACACACTCCCGATGTTATTGTCATGGTCAGCTGGAAGGCATCATCTGACTTTGTCAGGAAATTGCCACTAATTCAGTGAATGCGTCTCAAATAGTATTATAGTACAGCACCTAAAAAATGCACGAGAACTTGGACGATCTTTATCGAACTATCTACTGGAGCAGGTCAGATTGAGGTGATAGAAGCTCAAGGATACCAAGAAGGCAGTCAGATAGAAAGCAGGCTGGCTGGCCCGTCTGCGACAGTCAGTTTAGTACCCGACCTCACTTTCAAGGCACCAATCGCCCCCTGCATGTGCTGAAGTGGTTCCACGTTTCCTTTTGGAGTGTCCCCTTATGAATCCTGTCGAGTTAAGCCAGCAGCCGAACAACTGCATGTAGGTAGCTACATAACTTCATATCAGTTACGTCGTCACTCGTCAGTCACCAATCATCCCTTGCTTTAATGACATGTCACTTTGCATCCTCCTTTTGAATGAAGTGACAATAAATTGAATTGTACATTTGAACCGAACCCATGGCTACCAAGTCGCTCAAGATCATGTTTTTAGGTGCACCCGGCGCTGGAAAAGGCACGTATGCGTCTCGTATTGCACCTATGCTTCAGATTCCAATGATTTCAACGGGGGACCTGGTGCGTCACGAGATTAAAACTGGTACATCTCTTGGTGCAAAGATTAAAGAATACAATAATAGTGGGACACTTGTACCCGACCAGATCATTCTTGACATGATGGAAAAGCGGCTGGCATTGGATGATGCCCAAAGAGGCTTTATTCTCGATGGATTTCCACGTACTGTGCCTCAGGCTGAAGCCTTTAAGCTAGTGACTAAATTGGACCTGGTGGTCAATATTGACTTACCTCTGTGGATCCTCACCGAAAAGATTAGTGGTAGAAGGTCGGTTTGTCTTGGATTCAGTATGTGGATGCAATTGTCCTGATTACTTCATATGGTTACTTTCTTTCAGAGTATGTACCAAGTGTGGCCATGGCTACAATATGACATTCATCAATCGAGGAGGATACCAAATGCCTCCTTTGTTACCAAAGGTAGAGGGAATCTGTGATTTGTGTGGCACGGCATCGCTCGTTCAACGATCGGACGATTCACCCGAGACTCTAAATCTAAGGTGAGAGGTGTTTTTGACTGTTCTTGTTATTTTTAGGTGAAGAATTAGTGGATTGAGATGGGGTGATGGTTTTTTCTTTGTAGGTTGGAAGTGTACAATCGGGAGACGGCGCCGCTGATTGATTTTTACACGAAGGAGGGCTGTCTGAAGACATTTGAGGTGAAGAAAGGACTGGCGGACCTGGACAGACTCGTGGGTGTAGTTAAGAAGGAGCTGCACGTGTAGAACAAGGCTGGAGATGAAACACTATGTGATGATCAATTTCTCGATTGTTATGACTGCTGTGTCGTCATATTGATAGCAGTCGCCAATAAACACTCCACAACAGGTATCATCCGCCTTGCCATGATACTGCGTGCATTGAGTCGTTAGTGTATCAGATTCAGCCAGCTTTTGACGCGATTTTGGCTTGCATACTGCTTGCAGCCTCTAAAAAAGATGCAGGCGGATTTGACGCAACTTCTCTTGTGCGGTGCGAGCACGCTGGTCGGCGCTTATAATGCACTGCTATCTTCTGTCAAATTGCTATTTGCTGGATGTTTAGACAGTGAACAAGCATATCACCAGCTGAATGCAGACTCTTAGACTGTACGTCATTACCATAGGCTGAGAATAGATGGAAATCACAAAACGTGCTTTGTATCGATCAGGCAGCCGTGTGTCGTTTCCATCACATCCGACGAAGCAGTTGAAGCCAATTTAAGGTCCTACATACTGCTCTAACGTTGTCCGATTAGTCCTAGACGTATGTTTTGTCTTGCTCGGAATTGAGCAAGTCTGTAAGGATACTGTAGATAATCTCGTTTTGGCAACTTGCGTAGTAACGCCGTGCTTGCATGCTGTAGCACAAGTGCCGGGCAATACGATTATTAATGTACTCGGCTGGATCACAAGCATTTTTCGTTTCAAGCTGCAATAACGTTGCCTCAATTGTAGCTGTATGGCTATGTAAGTACAAATTAGCAAGTACAATTGACAAAATCCAGGTTTAATCATTTAGAAATTTCAATGAATTCTTACAGCTGACAACTCGTAGCTTTTGAGCATAGCAATTGTTTACAATTAGAAATGACGTTAACTAGGTAACGTGCGGCCGGTATCCTGCATGAAAGCAATAGCCACCAAAAATGATACTAAAAGCTGCAAAAGAACAATAACTTTTTTTGGAACCGATTCTAAATGCGAGCTCCTTCTTTTGACAATATATTAATTTATTTCATACAGTATGTCATACGTCATGCAATTTCTATAGACCATTTTCATAAAAACAAATACAATATTAAGCTGCCATAGCTGTAAAGTCTGTCTCTCTCTACCTTCCAGTCCCATGTCGTTATCTTCACTGCCTTTGTCACTTTTGTCCCTTATACTAGAGTTTTCAACGTACAATTTCACGCAAAATTTGGGACCTTTGCGTCGTTCGTTACCTGGTAAATATCTGAAAAACATGGCGCTCGTGTCCAAAAGCTGGTACGAAGTGGTGAACGAGCTGGTAGCTCGTTATCAGCGTGATACAATGCAATTGACCTTCAATTTTGGCTCAAGAGCAGAAATTTTGGCTATTCGACAACAAGTTCAACTTCGCGGACGAGCAGTACGGGACCTTCGGATCCGAATGGGACATTCTGATGGCACGCATTTTGTCGCTGGAATTTGGTGGTGGATGGAAGACCGCGAGATCTCGTGGGACGTTATTCTTTCACAGCTTCCGGGTCTTAAACGACTGGACTTGAGCTTGTTACCCCTTGAGAGTCATCATCTGCCTATTCTGCTGGACTTGGCAGCCAAATTTTGTCTCCAATTGGAAATGTTGATACTGCCGAGAAAATGCGACGTGTCAAAGATGGTCAATGGTGCTGCTATTGACAAAGTTATGAAAGCTTTAAGAGGTGCAATGCAAAGGTGGTATAGGAAAGGAACATGCGGGGGGTTGAAACAGTTGACAGTGCCTACGAGGGAGGAGCAAGACCGATGTCATTCTAGCACAAGGTTTATCGAAGATGTCATTCATTTTTGTCCTAACATCGAGTATCTGGATGGATACAATCATGTTATCGATGAGGTAGATGACGTGACATGTGAAGAACAATGGATGATCTCGCTTGATACGTGGGAGAAATTCAATAGAACTTGCACGAGCTTGCGTGGTTTCCATTGGGCGGTTGTACCCTTTGCAGACCCTTTTTTCAGAGTATTTGGAAAGTATGTGAAGCCAAAATTAACGAAACTAACATTGACGTCAAATTTGTCGTGGAATTGGGATGAATATTTTGAAAGAGATGACATAACTGGTATCCGCTTTGAGGAACCTGGTTATGGCTTCTTTGCAAACGATGTGATTGCACTACTCAAGGGATGTCCAGCTTTGACGAAGCTTGAGATTGCGATTGATCAAGAGAAAAACGACGAAGCCGCTGCGGCACTGTTAGATCCAAATATCTTTGGAGACAAGTTTTGGAAGGCGCTAGTTTATCATTGTCCTCTGCTACAGTCTTTGAATTTTCATGACTCTTCTGCGTATGGAGGAAGCCTTGTCGTCAGACCGATTAAAAAATTTACTGATCGGGGACTACTTGCGCTAGCGGATCACACGCGTCTGACCTCGATTGAGTTGCCTGCAGTTTGTTGCTCTGGAGATGGTGTCTTCGAATATATAAAGCACGTCTTCAGCAAGAAAGATTTTGCTGGGGGACATCGTTGTCTTGCCCTGAGCTTAGCAGGCCCAAACGACCATGACACTGCACTGCCACATCCATTCTACGTAGAGCTTGCACAATTACTGGGGCGCCTCGCTGCAACGAGAGAGGTAGAACTAGGTGTCGCGTCATGCAGCCACAAAGCGTCGATCAACGTGTTTAACCCACACAGCTCGTCGGTTGATAAGGATTGGAGCATATCCTATCTGCGTGATGAACTTAAACCCCTAATGGAAAAAGTAGCAAAAGCGCATCCAACCCTGGATGTGCATGTTGTCCTCTGCAGAAATACTGAAGACAGTTTTGACCAAATTGACAACTTGGAGTTAAACTGGTGTCCTGGGTCGCAGCAGGGGGACATATTCATTGACGATGAGTTTGTTAATAATGCCGATAGTAGTGACAGCGACGAAGACGATGAAGAGTTTTATGATGATGAAGATATTCTTGATCCTCAGGAGATTTACTTGAGGCGTCACGCCATGTTGTTGGAGAATGAGTATGAAGTTTTTCCAGATGAAGTTGACGAAAATTGAACTGTGAGCAAGAAGAGAATTTATCTAGTGATCGGGTAACTGACCAAAAGTGTGAAGCCTTTACCACGTCTGCTTCTTGTTGTTAACATTATAACGTGTACGATGTGGTAGTAAAAAGTAAAACGCATAATGGCTCTAAACTGACAAGTCGCAGTACTTCTTCAAATCATAATTGACGGTCTCACTTGAATTCATGTATCAATGGACGTGGTTGCTTGGTGTTGGACTCACGGTTGCGGCTGTCTCCGTATGCATCGCTTTAGATGTCAGCCTTAGCATGACTATCGCGACTGCTTGTGTAGCCCTGTACCTCCCCTCGTACTTGGACGGGGCGGAATACACAGGGGAGCGCTACTGGCCATGGTTCGCCACAATCAACGGACGTGGCATGGCACACATTCCAGGAACGCTAGAATTTGAAGAACCCATTGATGGTACCAAGCAGCACATTTTCTGCTCACACCCGCATGGACTATTGTCCGTCCACCATGGGCTTCTCGTGTCGGGCCAGACTTCTCCGCGTAAGTCAATACATATCTTGGAATGAAATCGATAGAATGGATCCAAAGCTGCACTTACCGTTTTTTGGATTTGCTGCCAGCATTTTATGAGACGGTACCACATTCCTCTAGACGTCATTTGGCCGCGTCCGTCTGCTTCCGTCTGCCAGTTTTCCGTGAATATCTACTGTGGTCCGGTTGTGTCGACGCACGTCGCAGTGTGGCGGAAAAGGTATTGATTGATAGGACGAAAGTGCTGTACATCTCTTGCTAACGAAAACTTGTGAGGCAGATGCTCAGGAATGGTAAGAGTCTGGTGATCTTAGTGGGAGGAATTGCAGAGCAGATGCTGTCGCAGCGAGGAGATCATACGATTTACGTTAAGAAGCGCAAAGGGCATATCCGTCTAGCGCTCAAGTATGGTGTTCCCATCGTACCTGGTTACGCCTTCGGAGAGACCGATCTCTTCACTCACTCGAGGTAGGTTGTCCAAATTGTGGCTACAAGGGGGGGGGTTGCTTTGGTTCTAATTGTGACTGTCCATTGTACGATATCAGGGTGTTGCTGTCACTCCGTCAAATGATAGCGAAGAAGTTATCGGTGGCGTTGCCACTTGGTTTCGGGTACTCGAAGCTGTTCTTTTGGTTGCCTCACAAAGGGGTGACTGTCAACCAGGTTTATGCCAAGCCCATTCCAGTGGAAAAGAAGGTTGATCCGAGCGCTGAAGAAGTGGAAAAACTGCATGATCAGTACGAGCGAGAGCTTGTCCGCCTTTTTGACAAGTACAAAAAGAAGTACGGCTACGAGAAGTGTACGCTGCACGTGTGCTAGACTCGATGCATTTTGTATAGCGCTTTTGGGTCTTCTAGCTGCTGGAATGAATTACTTAGATTCGACGTTTTGCCTCGCTTTTTTTCATATTCACGGCTCAAGCCACGTATAGAAACCTTGCGTGGTCGTCCCCGTGGCGGCGCAGGTACTCTTTCTGAATAAGAATTTCTACATTCTGCTTAATGGCCGTGGCTGTGGGCACAAACTGATTGACCAGCATCTCCGAAACTTCGTGTACCAGTTGTGCTTGGTAGATATCGCGACGTGTCTTGAGAACACGCACGATTGCGGCTTGCAGCGACATCTTGCGGTCTTCTTTAACATCACGAATTGTAACCTTAAGAGCCTTCGGCGATTCGACTGGGGTATTTGGAACAGCCTAGTCAACAATAATTTAAGTATTAGTACGCGTTGAAAAAAAGCGATTATAACGTCGTACTGAATGTCGGAGTTTACGACTGGTAAACCCAAAATTGATTGTATACGTCGGGTTCTCAGCAGCTCCGTCCGAGATCAGCAATTTCGACTGCAATTTAAAAAGTGCTGAAAGTTAGCAAACATTGAGCATGGCGTACGTTGCTTGTGTGAACACACCTTGATGAGGCTAGCCATATGGTGTGTACAGTCTTGCTCTGGAATATTGGTTAGCCGGACGATGTTTGAGCGAGTAATCTCCTTTGCTGTGTTAAACTAAGGAGCGATGATTAGCACAGGTAAACTCGGACATTTAGTACATCGATGTTTGCCGAACACGAAACAGGCATTACCTGCATGAGAATCAACATCTGGTAAAAGCTCAGCAAGAACTCGTAGCGCTTCTCAAAGCAGTGGCTTTGAATCATTCCATACGAGAGGTTGTGAACCCACAGAAGTTTTCGACCGGTGCTCCTTCCAGTGTAGAATCTTGTGAACAAGCTGGTATGAGCTTCAACGGCAGGCGGCAGAAAGACCTTGTGCTCTGCAGCTGCAATCGATATGGGCCAAGCTCCAGCCGTTAGAACATCGCAGTGATAGGTTACGGTGTGGTGAAAGTCAATGGCAATAGCGTGGGAAGCGTCCTCAGAGCGCAGCTCGATATCTTTTTCTTCCAGCCAAGCAGTGAACGACTCCATTAATTCCTGCCATTGTTCAAGAACTGTTAGCTATCAGCTAGCCCAGACAAAAGGAAAACAGAAGCACCTTGCTCAGCATTTTGTCCTTCAGCATCTTCTGCAATTTCGATACGAAATCACATCCGCAAATATCGCGCAGCTTAAGAATCAACAAGATTTCCATGTCGTTTGAAGCAGAAGTGCCTACATAGAACAATCAATGTCAAGTCAGAGAATCACTAGAGTAACAACAAAGCACCAGTGTGCTGCAAAACGACAAAGATTACTCATGACGCAAGCAAATGTACCTTTGATAAGCCGTTTTGCCAAAAATTTCGAGTAGTATTTCTTGAAAATGTCTTTGTCGTCGATGAGACAAAATACCACGCTGACATTTTCAATTTTCTGCTCCAACATATCGTCCATAATTAGCGTCGGTCGTGGCGACCCTGGTGAAGGCAGTGCTCGGCTACCCCCGTGTTTCTTTTCATGTGACATCAGGTAGTGAGTATACTTTGCTAATAATTCAGGAAGTCGCGGGTGAGAATTTGCAAATGTCCGGCATGCCTGTCACATAAAAGCATTTGCCATTCCACGATTAGTACAATGCGAAGCTAGTGTTGAAAGTAATTACGCAAACCTGATCAAGTGCGGTTCGCATCAGTGGGTGGAAGTTAAATGCATCTTTGATCAGATTAAAGTACTTGTTGCGAACTTGCACCAGGGCTTCGATGTATCCCTCTGGATTCTTAGTTGCCTCTTCTTGCTGGAATTTTTGCACGACCTCAAGGCCGCGTCGCTCAATGTATTTCTTCAGGATATTCTGTTTGACATTAATCGGTTCCGTGATCAATAAAAGACGGATTAGCAAGATATGGCTTGGATTCAATATTAATTACCTTCAAAGACATCAGTGCATTCTCGTTGGTCAATTCCGAGAAAAGAGAGAACAGGCGCTGTAGATCTTTTTTCTGGTTATTGATCAAGAATGTCTCAGCATCTTCACAGATCTGATCAGCATGCTCGTCTACCAAGACATGGCAGCAAGCTTGTCGAAGTTGAACAACAGTGCTGTAGAAAACAAAGAAACACATATTATCTTAGATCGTCGTGACGCTCTGCAGGATAAACAAACGGCAACATACGTTCGATGCAATCTGGCTTCGCAACGTTTCTGCTCATGAGCACACAAAAGTTCGATCTCTTGCAAGTATTCTGATATTGTTACCCGAGACAACAGCTCCATCGCCTTTGCTGAGTAGTAGCGAGCTGTGTCCTACACACAGAATTCTATAAGTAATAATGCTCTTATTTTCTATATAATTTGTTTCGTACCTCGAGAAAAGGCTGCTCCAATTCTTCTCGATAGAGGCTCATCTGATCCTGTCTGCAAAGGCCTATACTAAAGTATGTCTAGAAAACAACACCTGCGTCAAACTTTAAAACAGCACACAGTAAAAAGTCGAAAAAGGTCTCCAACAAACCTGAACTGTTCTGGCAATACAATCACCATCTTCAAAACACTCGCTTTTGCTACGACGTGCTGAATGGAAGATGTGAATAATTGCTTTTACAAGTCGCTTCTTGAGTTTCGAAAATGCAATGTCGTGCCAAATGTGAAGTGAAAGCTGTTTCAAAGACCACAAGCTGATTGTTTGATACACTCGAGTATCCAAACACTACCAAACGTCATGCTCTACTCACTTCTGTGACAGGATACACTCCTGGAACAGGAGCGTGTCCAGTCTCGCAGTGGGAATATGAGATCCAGTAGCGATTCTGCACCATGACGAGTTAGAAAGAGAGAAACTTTACATGTGACGATATCGGTCCAATCTAATCCACGAACCAGATAGCGAAAAAGTTCTGAGATATAATTTGTTCCTGTTGCAAACGACTCAAACGAAGAACAATAGTGATACAGGAACGCTGCCTCGCCGTCAATTGCATTCAACTTGTTCAAGATCGACTCGACATGTTCAATGAACATTCCTCGCAGTCGGAAGAATAGCAATTCGGCCTGTGGAGCTCCAGGATTTGTGCAGATCTTGTAGATTCCTCTACCAAGTTCAAAAAATGTATCAAAATATGCACCTTTTCCTTCAAGAATCACGTCACGTACGAGTACATCTGTAGCCATTTTTCATTCGTCAATGTCTGCGGCGTCCCTGTCATTAGTGACGCAAGTGGTGGTTCCATCTCTTTCCATTCATGCTCAAAATTAACCTACAAACAAGTTCAGTCGATACGTGAGGAAATTTCTAGCGATTAGGACGGCCATTTGCAGTAGAACACACTTCTCAAATGACTACAGTTCTTACCACTGAGGTCTTCAATAACGACATTGTTTCTCCTGCGACGTCTGGTGTCGCTTTCGTTTCCTTTTTAAGATCTGAATGCGGAATGGTTGGTTGCAACTTGAGAGGGGAAACGTACCTTGATTGTGCAACGTACATAATACCATCACTCTTTCTTTACTGATACTTCCACAAAAATGATCAAAGCCGAGTCAGAGTTGGTGCAGATCGAGCAAGAGCTAAGAGAGGTGGAAGAGGACTTGAATGTATTGCTATTGCGTCAAAGCGAACTGTTAAAAAGAAAGAAGGAGCTGCACTTGCAGCTGGAGTGTGAGCAGATTGAAGACGCAGACGTAACAAAAAACACCGGGAAAGTTGCGGATTGGAAGGCGCACTTTCAATGGTCGGAACAGATTCACACGTTGCTGACCGAGACAGTAGGAGATTTCATAATTGAAACAAAGATACTCTCATTATAGTTAAACTAACGTAGGATGTTGTATAGTTTCACTTGCCTGATTTTCGATCAGTGCAGGAGGAAGTGATTAATGCCACGCTGTCTAACAAAGACGTGTTTGTAGTCATGAGAACTGGTGGTGGCAAGAGTCTCTGTTACCAATTGCCGGCTTTGTTTGATGGAGTACTAGTGCTAATGTTGTTGTAGGGTTATATTGCTGACCTTATAGCTGATCAGACCCGTGTTTTTCGTGTCGTAGAATGCTGGTTTTACGGTTGTTATTTCGCCGTTACTCTCGCTCATCCAGGACCAAGTATGTATTTAGATAGCACGAGAAAAATTATTGTGCTGTGTACTGGAGGTAACGTGATTTTAAATTGCAATGACGAGATCAGGTGATGCTGTTCAATGACATTGCTAGTGAAGGTGCAGCGTGCCGATTATCCAGCGAGCAGTCACGTGGAGAAGCATCAGCTATTTATAAGTCGCTGATAACGACGGATAGTGCACTGAGGATTTTGTTGATTACTCCAGAAAAACTCATTAAAAGCAAACTCCTCATGTCGAGGTTTGAAAAGGCGTACCAGATTGGGCGACTGAAGCGATTTGTCATTGATGAAGCCCATTGCTGTAGCCAGTGGGGCCACGACTTTCGAAGTGTAAGTTGCTGGTGGTCAATTATAGGCCTCATGCAGCAAAAGATCTCGAATACCAATGACTTCTTGTGCTTATTTTTGCAGGATTACTCCAAGCTGGGAATCTTGAAGCGACAATTTCCTACAGTACCCATATTGGCAGTGACAGCTACAGCGACGCCACGCTTGGCTATGGACGTCAAAACCATTCTCGAAATTCAAAATTGTGTATCATTCCGAACCTCTTTTCTCCGAAACAACCTGCACTACGAGGTACGCGGTAGGAGAGGAATACACATGCTAAGTATCGAGCAGGCATATACAAAGGCATTCTTATTGCTGTCTGATACAGGTTCTGCCGAAATCAGCAAAAGACGCTACAGCGATGGATTACCTAGTCTGTCTAGTTAAAACTTTTTCGCCGGGTGATACTGGAATCGTATATTGCCTCACAAGAAAAGAGACAGAACAAGTAGCCCAGCACCTCCGTCAAGCAAATATTCGAGCGGCATGCTACCATGCGTATGTGGAAGACAAGGAGGAAACCCACCTTGCCTGGTTTCGCAACAAGCTTCAAGTTGTAGTTGCGACCATTGCGTTTGGTCTTGGAATTAACAAGCCAGACGTGCGGTTTGTCATCCATTTTACTCTATCGAAGGTTTGGACCACACCTGCCTCTTTGTAATTTTTTTGTGGGCTAGTTCTACTAACCTTTGGTTGACATGTATACTTCAGTCTATTGAGGGATACTATCAAGAATCCGGACGAGCAGGACGTGATGGAAATGCAGCGCGTTGTGTGTTAATGTATAGGCCATCTGATGTACTACGCGTTCTAAACATCGTCCAGGGAGAAGTCGGAGGCATGAAGAATATGCGATCGATGATCAAGTACTGCGAGGAGCTTTCACAGTGTCGGCAATCAATGATGGCAGCATACTTTGGGTACGTCCGTAGATGTAATTTGGTTATGTCCTAAGACGCATTCACGATCTTGCTGGTGATTTCGATGCAGCGAAACTTCAGAATCTACAGCAGTATGCCAAAGAGCATGTGATAACTGCAATCGAGATATTGACATGACAGACACAATTAATCTCTCAGATCACTCCAGAGCTTTAATTTGTATCACAGAAGACGCCAAGAGATTGTAAGTAGATCGTTTTGACCCTGAAAATACGTCGTAGCTGACGTCAAATACGATTATGTGGTAGGGAGAGACGTGTCACACTAAAGCAACTTATCGATGAATTTAAATCCAGAAAGTTTGCGCAGGAATGGACAACGTTGGATCCATCAATAGCCTCAATATCTAGAAGGATGTGTGACAGTATCGTGATTAATCTTTTGCTAAGGTACAAGAACTATCAGAAGCCGTGGCTGGGATTTTTTTGTTATATTACATCTAACGTTTTGTTTTACTTCGTGCGCAGCAACGTTCTTCAGCCAGATATCAGCTACACAGCATACAACACGATTTGTTATTTGGTTCCTGGCCCACGAGCTCACCACTTGAAAAAGGATCGACTTCAAATTCAACTTCCGCGATGTCTCATGGACGCAACTGAGAGTTCAGACGGCACGGTATCTATGCCACCAAAGAAAAGGAAACGATTACCGGAGGTCATTACGATTGAATGATCCGGAATGATCCAGAAAGTGAATAGATTCACATTAGTTCGAAATTGACGGCTAATTTGTTATTGTTGCTTTAGCATAACATTTTGCTGTAAACACATTATACAACTATTCGACTAGCGAAATTATTTTGTTTTCAGATGCAAACTGTAAACGGGCGGTTCAAACTTCGAACCGCTTGTGGTTCTTGCGACAGCAGGAATCAAAACAAAGTGCTTTTTTTGCCATTTCAAGTGTAAATTATATTTTTCACTTTTTAAATCCGCGCTACCTTCGCGCAACCTCATCATGTAAAGATCCTTTTTTGCGGGGGAAAACTCAACTACTCAAAGCAGACAGAGAGAAGGCTGAGTCAGCAGCATGAGAGAGACGGCGCAAATTCCGGTACCAAGCAAAGACCCTGCAGTCAAAGATGACCAGAAACCTATCGCTGCTAAGTCTATTAACCCCGCCGAAGATGCGCCCGCCGACGAGGAGCTTGTACGTCTTCTATAGCCATAGAAACACATTATCATTGTTTACTAAGCAACAATTTTGTATTTTGTAGTCACAAGAAGATCGTAAACTGAAAGAAGATCTAGAAATGGCTGTGAATCGTATCTGTGACGAGAAGGAAGAGGTCGGCGTCAAGCAGTTGGCGCTGGAGCTGCTACGGCGTGAGATCCGAACAGCCACATCGTCCATGACGTCGGTGCCCAAGCCATTGAAGTTCTTGCGACCTTCGTACGACAAACTTAAGACAGCCTTCGAGAGCTTTCAAGATGGAGACGCCAAGAAACTCATGGCTGATGTGCTGTCGGTGCTGGCGATGACCATGGCCAAGGAGGGCTCTCGTGAAAGTCTCAAGTTTAAACTACTGGGCAACAGCATAGAACTAAGCTCATGGGGTCACGAGTTTGTGCGTGCATTGACTGGAGAAGTGGGTGAAGAATATAACGCTCGGATTACAGCAGTAGATGCAGTGGACCCGAATGTGAACGACCTACTGGAGATTGTGGACGCCATCGTGCCGTTCCACATGCAGCACAATGCGGAGCCGGAGGCTATTGACATTTTGATTGAAGTACAGCAGCTCTCGAACTTGTTACAGTGTCCGGATATTGACGAGAAGAACTATCAGAGAGTTTGTCTCTATCTCTTGTCATGTGCTGACTACATGTCTGATGCTGATGATTTGGTAAATCTGCTTAACACTGCGTACTCGCTGTTCCTGCGTCTGGAGCAGTACCCGGATGCACTTCGTGTAGCGCTCCGTGTCAGCAACGATAATTTTGTTGCCGAGGTTTTTCAGAAGTGCAAGGATGACGTCGTGAGGAACCAAATGGGGTACATCTTAGGTCGTCAGCGTTGTTTTTACGAAGACGAGAGTGAGGCGTCTGTGAATGAGATTATTGGCAATTCGGACTTGAATGACAAGTTCCTAGCACTTGCTCGTGACCTTGATGTCATGGAGGCCAAAACACCTGAGGACATTTACAAGTCGCACCTGTCGGAGACGGCTAGTGTGGGTCGAGGTCGTGACTCTGGGTCTCAGCCTGCAGACTCAGCACGTGCTAACTTGGCGTCGACGTTTGTCAACGCTCTAGTGAACGCCGGCTACGGAACGGACAAGCTTATGACCCCGGAGGGCAACACGTGGCTGTATAAAAACAAGAAGCATGGTATGATGAGCGCGGCTGCGTCATTGGGTATGATCATGCTTTGGAATGTTGAAGAGGGCATCACGCAAATTGACAAGTACCTTTACTCTGGCGATGAATACGTCAAAGCCGGCGCTATCCTTGGCGTTGGTGTTGTCAGCGCTGGTATTCGTAATGACTGCGACCCTGCTCTTGCGCTGTTGTCTGAGCACATTGACTCGGGCAACTGCTCCATTCGCTGCGCTTCCTGCTTGGGTTTGGGCATTGCATACGCCGGATCGGCGCGTGAAGATGTGTCTGAGCTGCTGATTCCGGTGGTTTCACATGCTGACGAAAACGCTGATATTCAAGAGGTGTCATACGCGGCGCTGGCGCTCGGCATGGTTGAAGTGGGTACTTGTGACGAAGAGGCTGGAAGTGTGCTGATGCAACGACTGATGGAGAGCTCAGACGCAGAGCTAGACTCATCATGCGCGCGTTTCCTTGCTCTTGGGCTTGGTCTGCTATATCTTGGGTACGTTGTGTGTATGGATGCAGAGCAGCAATACAAATTCTGACATCTACTGTGTTATACAGCCGCCAGGAGCGTGTGGAGGCTATGCTGGAAGCTGCAAAGACCATCGAGCATAAGATGTCTAAATACTTGGCTATCACGCTGGAAACGTGTGCATATGCTGGATCGGGCAACGTGCTGAAGGTTCAACAGCTTCTGCGAACTTGCGCAGAACACATTGAGGACCCTATGGAGGCGCAACATCAGGGTGTCGCCGTGCTCGGTATTGCTCTGATCACGATGGGCGAAAATATTGGCAGTGAAATGGCGATGCGATCGTTTGACCACTTGTTGCAGTACGGTGAAGTGGTAGTACGCCGTGCAGTGTCTCTAGCATTTGCTCTGTTGAGCGTGTCTAATCCGGAGTACGCACTGATCGACACGCTGTCGCGCCTTACACACGATGTTGACTCAGGTGTCGCTCAGAATGCCATTCTTGCTCTCGGCCTAGTGTCAGCCGGCACAAACAACTCGCGCGTGGCTGGTTTGCTTCGTCAATTGTCAGAGTTCTACAACCGCGAGGCAAACCATCTTTTCGTTGTTCGAATTGCTCAAGGTTTGCTACACTTGGGTAAGGGTCTCATGACCCTGCACCCATTCCACTCAGACCGGTTGGTCATGTCGTGTGTGGCCGTCAGTGGTTTGCTGACAATTCTTCACGCTTCGCTAGATATGGAGCACACTATTTTGGACACTTCCCACTATATTCTCTACTGTATCGCCACAGCAATGCAGCCCCGAATGCTAATTACGCTAGACGAAGAGCTGAATCCGCTTCCAGTATCTGTCAGAGTTGGCCAGGCGGTACGTACTCATTCGTCATGTGGTCTTTCATTCACTTTGCATTTGTTCTTACGTCTATCACTCGTTAAATTTTGCAGGTTGAAATTGTGGGCCAAGCCGGTCGCCCAAAGTCTATTACGGGTTTCCAGACGCACACGACACCTGTGCTGCTTAATGTAAAGGACCGCGCGGAGCTCGCGACCGAAGAGTACCTTCCGCTCACGAACGTGCTAGAAGGCGTTGTTATCCTCCGAAAAAACCCGGACTATGAAGCGGAGACTTAAGCAAGAAGTGGAGAAGGAGGACGGGGTGGTTCGATGACACCAAGAAGAGGGTGCTGTTCTGCAGCCTTTGGTCTCCTGGCTAGCGATAACCATGCCAACACACAAAATACCTTTAACGCTCATGATTGTTACTTGTCCTGACGTCGTTTGTGCTGTCTGTTGATGTCAGCGGTTGTCGATGTATTTTGTTCTATATGGACGAAATAGGACTAGCTTGACTAAAAATTAGGAGTTTTCAATTTCATGTCGCGCTGGGGCTCCAATGGATTGTCAGGTATCAGCCTCTTTATAAAGAACTGGGACAGTTCTGCTGTATTCTGCATATGAATATCCAGACGCTAGCGATAAGGTTTGAGTACAATCTAGCGTACGAACACCGACATATTTCTTTGTGAGCTGTAGCAATCTTGCAAACTTTCGCTGCACCGTGGCGCCGTGACTAGAAGGTATCACTTATATAGTAGGAGCTAGTTCTTCTCAGGACCAAGTGATCCAGTGGTACGTGACTGAGCTACTAAACTGGAAAATAGTAGAGCGGCTAACAAGCGGAAGAAAAATGTACGCTTTACTCCTAGGATCTGAGCTAATGCACCTTAAAAGAAAGCCTTGAATTGTAAGACACAGTCTGCTACATCAAAAGTACCCCTTGATCCCTGACACCTAGTAGTCAAAGGTGACTTTGACTTCAACTACTTATAATCCTGATAGCATTTAATTTACTAAGCGGTTTTCACACAGCAAAATAATCTACTCGTCCGTCTCCATCTTTTCGGCCTTGCCCTTCTTCTGCTTCTTGGCTGTCTCTTCGTCCACATCCATCTCACCCCGCATTGTCTTCTCCATCTGACGCATACGCATTCTTCTCAGCACTTTAGTCGATACTTTCTTTACCATCGTCTCTTTTCCTTTTTGAGCGCTTGCTTTCTGCAACAATAACACTAGTCAGTCACCAAAGACAAAATCCATCCAATGATCTCTCAGTCAAGAGCTTCAATGCACCCGTTCACGCTTTTTCATGAGCTTCTCTTTACGCAGTCGCTCTTTCTCCACCTCTAGCTCATACTGTGCCTTGATCTTGTTACGATTATTCTTCCTCGACATGGCTACACAACGATCGAATGTGCTTTTGTGTCGCTTCGAGACCAAGCAATTGCACCACACTTTGTGAACACTAATTTAATGTGCCAAACACAACTTACAGTCATTGACCATGCGTGTCAATTGTCATGAAGGCCAAGCGTCTGAGTGCCCAGACGCGTTCACGGTACAACCTCCTGCCTGTGAGCCTTCGGTACATAATACTTTTCTCCGTATCTAGCATTTGCTGCTTAATTTTAGGTCTAATGTTGTTAATTGGCGAATGAGCAGACGGACGTTAGCAAGTGTATCACTTGGTATCTCCATTGGCATCGTAGGGACGTTGATATTATTGGGAATTGACGAAGAAGAGGACAAGGCAAAGCGACGTATACCTATTCCAAGTGAACAAAGGTCGTTTGAGCCTAAAGCAGTTCTCAAACACAAAGCACTGCGTTACGGAATGCCGTCGAACTCGAATGTCCTCGTGAGGTCAGGCTACGTCGTCTCATTCGATTACCGGTACTGTACATACAGGAAAATTTACATTGTATGCTGATGATAGTGGACTAATGAGTGATGGTCCTTTTCTATCCTTGGTAGTACGCGCAATCCGTCGTGGGTGATGGAGTATCTGACCAAGAACTCGCTGCGTGTTGAGCACGAGACTGATCGAGCGAACTCCAAATTTGCGGTGGATCAAGATGTTCCTGAGCAATTCAAGGTGCATCCAAACCGATACCTCAAGAGTGGTTATGATAAGGGCCACCTCGCACCAGCTCGTACGCTATTAGCACGATGATATCTTCTATGTCAGTGCGAAATCATTACGAGTGCTTACTGCATTATGTGCGTTGCGTGTAGGTGACATGAGCCACTCGCAGGAAGCTATGGACGAGAGTTTCCTCATGACCAATATGTCTCCACAGGTTGGTGCTGGCTTCAACCGTGGCTACTGGGCCCGTCTTGAAGGATTCATGCGTTACCTGGCTGGGCAGTACGACGCTGTCTACGTCATTACGGGGCCTCTATACTTACCCAAGGCAAGTGAAACTATTTTATGTTGACTCTTAGTGTAGTGGGCTAATGTGCCATCCTACATCTAGAAAAACAAGCGAACTGGAGAGTACGAGGTGTCATACCCTGTGTTAGGTACTCCGCCAAATGCTATTGCTGTCCCAACACATTTCTTCAAAGTAGTGCTGGGCGAAAAGCAAGGTGGGCGAGGTTTCGCCACCGCTGGCTTCATACTGCCAAACAAGGTCATCCCAGAAAACAAGAACCTTCGTGACTTCCAAGCGCCGCTAGACGTCATCGAGAAACAAGCTGGTCTGCTCTTCTTCGATAAGGTAAATGTACTACTTCCGGATGCATTATAGGTTACCTCATTCAGCGGCACTTACTTACCCCGTACGCGTTTACGCGAACTTTGCTACTGTGATAGCTGGATGGCGCAAGGAAAACCGATCTATGTAGCGAAACCAAGTGCGCTCTTGGTGCCGCTTACCGTAGGGCTACATCCGTTGAATCTTACTGACAAACCTGTTGCATTTACAAACCTAACATAACGACATATGCAAAAAATTGTCTTGACCTGACTACTCTTTACCTGAACTCGTTCAGTCAGTCATATACAGAAGTACAGCGACAAACGACTTTCAACTAAATTACACTTTGTCTAATCTCTTCATCTATCAAATCCTTTCTTTTTCCTTCAAAGTTCACCTGTGTTCCTATGTATCACATCTTCCACCTCATAGCTTTTTGACTGCTTATCTCCTCTTGTCGTAACTATTGGCATTCATCTCCTCTTTGATGAAAATCCTTTCCAGTATGAGAAGTGTCCAAGCTGGTGTTATTTTCATTTATGTTTTTTCGCTCGTGACGCTCGTCAATTCCACTACCGATTGGTAGAAAATACAAGTAAATGCAATCTTTTCTACGAATAACAATACACAAGAATCGTGACAGTCAAAGAGCTATGAGCCTTAATGAATACGACGTGATCTTACCCGGTCTCATGGACATCGAGGAGACGTTACAACCTGAGAGGCCGCTACTTGTATCCCAGGAACTTAACCATCAGCAATCGGAAGTCGTGGTAAGACGTAATCAGTCCAAGTACGATTTTGTTAAAGTACGCGTGTGGGTGGAGGACCACGTGTACGTATTGTCACGCTATCTGCTATGCCGAGCTCTAGTCAGTGCCAAGGTGATAATTAGACTAGGCTGCTGCGATTGCTACTAGTGGTTTAGTGCCTTTTTTAGAGTTTGCAACATGTATTGAATGCAGATAAATTCGAGAGATGCGGTGCAAATATCGCTGGACTTGAAGAGGGTGAGAAGACTGTGAGGGATCACTCATACTAAGAGGGTGAATGACATGTTGGGTGTGAGCTATTTTCCTTTTTTCAGACATTGGTGGACTTGAACATTACCGATATTGGCCAGGAACAATTTGAGGACTTTTTGTACAAGACGATGTTGGTGTTTAGTTATGGAGAAGCGCAGATCTCCTGTTATAGGATGATGTCGAGGTATGGAAGGAGAGTTTTGTTGTGACAAACATCGATGGTGTCTGAAATGCTATATGCGCTTTTAGTTTTCATCGCAATCGAGTCCCACTGCTTATTATGCTGGCGGGAACCGCTTGCATTGGGAAATCTACGTTGGCAACGAAAGTACGTCATTTTTGTAGCATCTTCGCAATGAAAGAGGGTGCTAATTTCGTGGCTTTAAATTTGTTCGAGTGTCTTTAGTTGGCTGATCGCCTCAATCTTTCCAGCGTCTTGCAGACTGATCTTATCTTTGAGCTCATGTGCAATTTTTCGGGGTTCGTTAACTATTGCCACCAGTACGTCTTCACGAAATCATTAGAAATTAACGACTTTATTGTCTTGTAGGCAGAAGAAGACCTCTTACATTACGACGGTTTTCCCGTCGACTGACGATCTTATCGCTGAATACCAGAAGGAATGCGATGTGGTGCGCAAGGGTGTCAAGTCGGACATTGATAAGTGCCTTAAGGACGGAAAGTCGCTCATCATTGAAGGTTTCCACATTGATCCTCGTCTATACCAGAAGACAATTGGTGCACCTGAGAAGGATAGCAACGCAAGTTGTTCGGGTATCGTCGTTCCTTTCTTACTAACGCTTGACGAAGTCGACCACCGTAACTTTATGACGAACTCTCCTGACCCGCGATACCGCAATGATCAAAATGGGATTGGCTTTCACAACTTACAAGATGTGCAGAAATATTTAGTTTGCCACAGTCTAGAGAAAAGAGTGCTTCCATTCACCGAGATTCGCATTGATCTCCACTCGTTTCATGCCACGCTGGACCGCCTTCACGACGTGGTACTTCAACGCATTGAGGAGGTGTTTGTGAGTAGCAAGTCCGCTTGATTCGATAACTAGTCCATGTATATATATACACCGGTTCGTATGAGGCAGAATAGGTAAACCCATTGCAGTTCATTGTTACCGTAACTGCTGATTTCTTTCACTGAGATTCCCTTTTCCTTCAGTGAAAAGCATGCAACAGTAGTAAACCTGACTTTTCGTTTCCTTGTGGTGTCCAATGTGACGCTTTCGGTTCCTATGTTTGACCGACATAAGCCGCAAAGCATTCTACTTTGCGATACCACTGGCACTTTACCTTCTTATAAACGGGGAAGATAACAAGCACAATCGTGCGATCTATAATAACGTCTTGCTTTTCGCTATCGCTCCTGATTCTCGTGAATTTAGTGCACTATCGCGTTAGGCGTAATAAATGTTGTCCCAGTAAGGTCCAAGTAATCTGGTGTCTTTTAAAAGTAGTCAAAATCGTTCTCCAGCCGGACTAAATTGCGATCTATCGCCGCCTTACCGCATCTTCAGCACACGAACTCCAATCAGTCGACTTCTGTCGTGATAAGAAGCCTTTACAGCAAATACAGCCCAAGTGTGCCTGCTAAATAATTGCCGTAGTCTGCCAGCCAAAGTACTATCTCGCTCAGCGCCGCCTCGGTTTCAATTCGTATATTTACGATTACCTATTCTAGGATCCTATTTCTAATTCTCCACTAACTTTTTGAAGTGGAGAAGTAGAATAAGAAAACAATTTTAATATATTTAGAGAAATAAAAATTCTAACCATAAAAAACTTATTTCACCAGTCTTTAAATTGCTTTGGTGCTAATAAAGTAGTTGATACAGCTTATCAAATGGATACAACACAGCGATGGAGAGCTCAGGGTGTTAATTACTGACGAAGAGAAAAAACGCTTAAATACCTGCCTACAAATATCTGTTTTACCGACTAACTTTTTTTTCTCCTAATAATTTTAGGTTCCGACCACGAGCCTCTACTGGAATAGATACATCTCTTCCTATATTATCGATGAATCTTGTCCCAGGGCTTATAAAACTTCTATACCTTTCTATACTCAACTCGACCAAGTCCAAATCCATCTATCTCAATCTCATAGGAAGACCATAGCACAATGCAGATTTTTTCTCTCCCGAAAGACCATAATGAAGCGACGTGGATCGCCTAGAATTGCCAACAGCAAGAAAAAGAAGCAAACAAGTTGCGCAGAAGCTTTGATGGATTCTCCTGCTGGTCGTCTTGGCTTTATTTTAGAGCTTGAAGCGGGGCAAGTGTGTGCGTTTTTGCTCTCTGAGGAGATCTTATACTTGCTTCAAGCGTGTTCTAGTGGCTTGTCGAAAGATTTCATTGACAAAATGGCACTAAAAGCACTTGACCAATTTGCTGACGAAAACAAGACCCACGTGGGACGCCAGTGTGACTGTGACTGGATGCGAAGTATCCACTTTGAACGATCTTGTTTGGAGAAATGTCCTCGTACCGGACCGTTCACTGTAAACAGGGCCATGCCAAGTCTTCAAGCCCCAAATGGTGCCCTAGCATTGTGGAGTGCATTAGCACTGGCAAAGAGAGCTATGCTACCCCTTTTTTTGGGAATAACTGGCATACCACAGGGGCACTTCTTCCCGTTGTGTGCTTGCTCACAGAGGATAAAGAGAAACTTTGCAGCGAATTAGCTGTCAAGAAAGCGATGAACCGTGTTTGTAAAAAAGCTGGTGACCGATTCGTCTACAAGTATTCGAAGCGAATTAAAAAAAGGAAAGTATATGATAAAAGCGACGTCATATACGAGCACTGGAACAGCATCCAGGGCTTAAAATGTGCGCACTGTGACGATTGTTCGAATCGCCAACGTGTAGATCCGCGCCGTTTTACACATCTCCAACGAATACATGCTAACTGCAAGAATCTGTATCGGCCGCTGAAAGCTGCGATGGAAAAGGAACTTCAGTTCGTGCGGTATATACCGCAACCAAAATCAATCTTTACCACATACGAGGGATTAATAGCAGGGATTTCGCCCAGCGGCGTTTTCTGCGGGATCTATATCGCAAGCCCTTACAATTTATATTGAATACAATAACCCTGAATGATTACTTATTTTAGGCGGAAACAAAACAACAGTAATCTCAATGCATCCCATTAAGCTCCGATTATTCTTGTAACAGGGCATCTAGTTACACGTAAACATTAAGTAATATACTCAATTTTTTGGTCTAAAAGTATCCATGATTACTTTTGACCTGTCACTTGGGTTCGATACACAAACGTGATCCACCCTCGTGCATGTGATATCCATTTATGGATTCACATGAGAAGGGATGACGCTAGTTGAAGCTAGGCATCACGACGTCTCAGAAGGACGTCAGTTGCGATCTTAAATCTAGATTTAAGTTCATGCGACAGGTTACGCTTCTAAAGAGTCGCGTATCCGATCTATATATATACATATATATATAGCCAATCAGTAGTTAAGTTTATATTTAATTATAATTCATTAGATATAGCTCAGTCTTGAATTTGCTAAATCGAAGCACCGCGCACGAGAAGCTCTAAAAGCTTCTGCGTGACGCCGGTGACTTCTTGTTCAGCGGTTAGTTGCACTCTCGCTAAAGCGAGAGGCAACTGGTGGTACGACTGCTTAAGCAGTCGACCAACCGCATAACCACCCTCGCACTCGAAGGTGAGACGGTCTGACCGCTTCCTCGCTTGTTCTGAAGGTGTGTGCTAGTAGCACGAGGCAACTTCGTAGAAGTGCCCGTATACAGTAGGTAGCACTAGTAGTCCTTCCCACGACCCGTCTCTCTGAGCGTGCGTGTGGTTAAGATGGTCTTTAATATGGACTGGAGTGACTTCCCTCACCTCCTATAACATCATAGAAAGCTGGCAGAGCATATGTCGCAGGTACTTGGTAAACAAGCCCTGGGCAACCTCTTGCATTGTCCTCCTGAGCAACATGTTGCTCAGTTGGAGCAATTTGAGGCATTTGTGCTCGGACAGCGTAGGAACGCGTCCGAGGTAAGCAGCCAAGCCACCGCTGAGTCCATCAATAAGACTCAGGATGAGCTTAGGCTTGAGCAGGCACGTAATGAGGCGCTCAACAGAACTGTTGATACGCTCTCTGCCCGGCCTGCTCAACCGAGGCCCATTCGGATGGACCCTCCGAAGTTCGATAAAACTAGCCCTCACACGATTGTTCACTGGCTATTAGCAGTGGAGGCATCGAAGACGACGCCAGAATGGTGTCGTTTGCCATGTCCAACTTGCGTGGCAAAGCGTCAGAGTGGGCATACTCTGCGCTGATGGATAATGCCGATGCATTCCCATCATGGACGATCTTTAAAACAAAGATCAGCGCCATGTATCAGCCGCCTAACAGCGAAGTGCTGATTATGGCGCGCTTCTTTGGAGCACGACAGGCGAAACGCTCTCTGCAGGAGTTTGTGCAGGAGATGCGTTCTCTGTCGGCGTCCATTAATGGGGAACCGATACCGAAACGTATCAAGGTGGCCACGTTCATGAATGGACTTAGGCATGGCCCATCGCGTCAGGCCCTTTTCAGAAAGGTGCCAGCGACGATGGAAGAGGCAATTGACATTGCCTTAGTTGAGGAGCAATCCTACAACAGCGCCTCGGCGACAGCCTATTACAGGCCGTCGTCCGAGAAGTCTGATGCCACTCCTATGGAGTTAGGAAATGCAGATGTGATCTGCTACAAGTGCGGCAAGCGAGGCCATATGATGGCTCGCTGCTATCACCAAAGTAGCTGCTGGTGCTAAGGCAGCCAGCAAAAGGTCTCCAAACCCGAAGGGAGGTGCGACAAACCAGCGTGCATGACGCACGGGTTCAGCACCTGCCCAAGATGGGTCGGGAAATGCGGGAGCGCAGTAGGGGCGGGATGCCCTACTGTCGCGGACTCTGAAGCTACCTTTAAGTTCAGAGTGATCGCACAAATTGGGTAGCATAGTCCCTGAGGTTCCGAAAGTTCGGACCTCAACCCTTTTGGTCTATAGCGCTCGAGTACGAGGCTATGACCAAGTGATGACCCTTCTCGTGGATTCGGGTGCATCACAACACTTTGTGAAACTCGCGGCTCTGAAAAAGAGTCCGGCGAGTTATGAGTCGCTTTGCCAGGATGGCAATCGAGAAGAGGCGATCTTTCGTTTAGCGAACGGCGCGCTCGTTAAATCGGAGGGAGTTCAAGTTGAACTCGCCTTCAGTATCAGTGACTTCTCTTGTAAAGAGAAGTTCACAGTGCTAGGTATGGAGAGTCCGTATGACCTCATCCTAGGCATGCCTTGGTTGGCTAAACACCAGCCATGGATAGACTGGCGTACACGCACAGTCGCTAGCTCTACGCAAGACACCGGAAAGGATGTGATCTTGCGAGAGAATTATGTGGCTGATGCTGTGTCCAACACAGTCGAGGGTGCGATGACGGTATGTCAATCGACACCAGGAACTACCCAGCTCGAGGATACTGGTGTAGTGAATAGGATAGTCATGCGTCTAATAGTCCTGCACAGAGCCGAGAGCCTGTGGCAGTTGATGGTGGGATGACAGGATGTCAAGCGCCACAAGAACCGGTACAGAGCCAAGAGCCTGGTGCGGTTGGAAGGGTGCGTTAGCTGAAATAGCAACGACACCTTCTTCCAGGTCAAAGGTCGTGGTGACTCGAAGAACGAGCACCAGACGTATTAAGACGATCAAGGGCACGTCGAAACGAGTGACTTTTGGATCAGTCTCGGTCCAAGAGGACGGACCTACGAACGAGTTGTTCGAGGCCGTCGAAGACAAAATGCCTGAGGCATTCTCAGCTGAGGTGCTCCAACTTGTCTTGGCATCTGCCGAGGAGATATTAAATCTCTCGGAGATGACGTGGGAGCTGTTCCTGTCCGAATTAAAGGAAGGAAAGATCCACAAGGATCTGCGCCAATTCCTTGGGCTCGCTAATTACTTGCATAAGTACAGCAAGAATTACGCGGAGCAGACCAAGCCATTGTCTGACCTTTTAAAAAAGAATACAGAATGGACTTGGTCAAAGGAACAAGAAGATGCGTTCACTTCAGTGAAGCAATCTCTTGTAGAGGCACCGGTCTTGGCATTTCCAGACGTGGATAAGCCCTTTAGCGTCGTCTGCGATGCAAGCGATTTTGCAATCGGTAGCGCGCTCATGCAAAAGGATGACAACGGCGTTGACCGTGTCATTTCTTATCAGTCTCGGCTTTTGAAAGCCGCAGTG